GGCATCCTTACGACCAGGGGAAAAGGTTAAGGAAAACCAATTATGCCCCCTTCGGTTGTTGACAGACGGAAGCCTGCTTCGGACATATTCTTAATATCTTTCCATAATATAATGATACAGGTCGTCACAGTGTCTTCTCAATATTGGGTATTAGCTATTTATTTTCATAAAAAGGGGAAACAAAATAGGAGCACATGTCATAAATTGGAGACGCCGTCCTTTACAGAGGAGTAACCTCAGTAACACAAGCAGGGAAAATAGCCCGTGAAAGTAACGGGAAAAATGGAGAAAAAAGCTTTAATATACAAATACAGGGGGGGGCTCATAGTGGTGGTGTTGTGTGTGGTGTGTATGTGTGTATGTGTGTATGTGTGTGCGCGCGCGCGCGTGTGTGTGTGTGTGTGTGTGTGTGTGTGTGTGNGGGGGGGGGGGGGGGGATGAGGTGGAGGAATACGTGTTCGCCTATGCTAGATTCTACTACGCTTGTGATGTAACAACAGTTTGTATTGGTTACGTGTAACTTAAAGATATGCTGATTAAAATGTGATATCAGTTAAAATCAAATATATCAACGACTTTGTATTATAACTATTATTTTCATTTTTTTGCAAATTGTTTCTTAGAGTTCAGTCACTTTCCAACAATATGTATTGTGTGCTACACTGCTATCTATCTTATATAGTAACTGTATATTGTTGTTATCATTGTTATCAATTCTGTAATTGGACCCTCGGGTCTGTTGAATTGAAATAATGAAAAGAAAAAAGAAATAAATAAGATGAACGACTATTGTTCTTGCTCTTCCTTCTCGCCCCATGTTAAATCCTACACCTATGTCCCCCTGTCTCTTTCTGTAACCGTCGCTGATGACACCCTTAATATGTTTACATATTTATTAAAAAGAAGATAGAGTTTATTTTCAGGTAAGTTGAACATTTTTGCTGCTGTTGTGTTCAATTTGAATAAATTATTTATTGAAGTGTTGGTTTTGTCATTTATAAATCAAGAAAAATTGCCTCGCTGAATCGTTTTGAAGTCGTTAATTTCAAACAAATAAAAGATATTAAAAATTGTTATGATATATCAAAAACCAAATTCAACAAACAATAGAGAAAAAATGTGAAAATAATCGCAGTATGTATATTACTAATTAAGACACATATTTTTTTACAATCAGTTAACATTATTAAAGTACATGTACCAAATACATCGAGAGATTTCTCGTACAAGTTAAAAAGTGACTATTTCTGCCAAATTAAAAAACTTAATTCTTGTACCAGTGATAATGGGACATTAAATCGACAGGAAATAATGAGGGGTCCTGCCGTGTCTACCGAGTACGAAGGGAGAGTACTCGTACAAGTCAAAATAAAAAGCTGTCGGATTTTACGCTCACTTTAGCTGTAGAGAAACATTTGCTCACTTTACTTGTAAACTGACGTTTTTCTGATAGTTCTTTTCTCGATAGAGTAACCTACCTTTTTTAAAAGGATTCAAAAGTAAAAGATCTCAGATCCACAACCAAAGATAATGTGTTTTTAAATGATGTACTTCAGAAGTACAAACCAACTAGATTTCACGACCCATTTGACGTACGGAATTCCAGAAAATACCACAGAAAATCGCACACATTTCTTTTCTCTTCAGACTGTTGCATACCATTCCTGTACTTAATGGAGATGCTTGTTACGATAGACGGTCCTGACATCATGGTTATCAGAAACAGGATAAACATTTTACATAGTACATAAATATGTAAGCATTATTTTAACATATTTCCTTTTATGATATAGTATAAATGTTCCATTGGAGTAAATGAAAATATCTTTTTTCCTCAACATCAATCGTAGTAATATATACCTATCAACAACAGACCTGACACGGGAAAATAAGTTAATTAAAATAAAGCTACATTCCGATTCGTAAGAAATACGTAGGTAGAAATTGACCTTTATTTCAGGTTAAATTCAAGTCAATTTTTTATGAGAATTGACCTGATAAAAATCATGTGAAATCAGGTTAAATTTTCATGTAATTTTGACCTGAATTTTGTTTTATGTCAAGAGGCCAAGTACAGGCCAAATTTAGGTCAATTTCGACCTCAAATATTTACGTAAAATTGACCTGAGAATTTGACCTGAAATTGACTTGAAATTGACATCAATAAAAATTATCCTGAGTAATGTCAGACGTTTCACCGTCAACAACAACGTTACTATTTTTATAACCGTTATTGCTCTGAGTCTTAAAATCGTGTGTTATTAATATTGTCCTCACAGGGTCTTTCTAATTCAGACACGGGCCTTATTACTGGTGTATGGTGAGTATCATTTGACGTTAATAATCAATACACTTCACAGGACCAAGTTAATAACAATAACACTGGACATGCACACAAAAATATACCTTCAATCAACATAAACGCCACGAAACGATACACGCACTCGTGATAATCAAAAGCGTGTTTAGATTGAACATAATCACATATGAAATTTATTTAAAAAAGAAAATGAAATTCAAAAATGAAAACATGTCTTTAGGGATTAAGAATTGCTATCCGGAGACAATATAACTTTATATAATTTCAGATTTTTCTCAGAGATTACATGTGTTTTTCCTATAGAGTAACAACTGATAAGCTGACCCAGCCTTCTGAGGTAAAGCTTTGTCAACTTCATCATCCATTATCTCAAATGTATTGATATCATTCATTTTTTTCAAACCCAACTGAAAAATATAGTGTTACCAATAATATTCCCAAATGGTGATTTTTTTCAACCCAGAAGGTGTTTTTGTTTTTAATTTAAATTTAAAACAACACAAGAATTAACTTCATGCACACAATATATTAAGATTCTAATTTTCTACAACATCTGAAATAAATTCAAAAATGTATAAATAACCATCAAAAACACAGTCAAATACCAATAAATTACAACTTAAAGCTAAACAAATATGTTTAATTTGACTGTATTTGTAGTTTATGGATATTTGACTGTATTTGTAGTTTATGGATATTTGACTGTATTTGTAGTTTATGGATATTTGACTGTATTTGTAGTTTATGGATATTTGACTGTATTTGTAGTTTATGGATATTTGACTGTATTTGTAGTTTATGGATATTTGACTGTATTTGTAGTTTATGGATATTTGACTGTATTTGTAGTTTATGGATATTTGACTGTATTTGTAGTTTATGGATATTTGACTGTATTTGTAGTTTATGGATATTTGACTGTATTTGTAGTTTATGGATATTTGACTGTATTTGTAGTTTATGGATATTTGACTGTATTTGTAGTTTATGGATATTTGACTGTATTTGTAGTTTATGGATATTTGACTGTATTTGTAGTTTATGGATATTTGACTGTATTTGTAGTTTATGGATATTTGACTGTATATGAAGTTTATGTATATTTGACTGTGTTTGTAGTTGATAGTTTACCTACATATGAAGTTTCTGGATATTTAGCTTTTGTAGTTTATATATATTTGACTATATATAAAGATTATGGTTACTTGGCTGTGTTTGTAGTTTATGGATATTTGACTATATATAGAGATTATGGATATTTGTCTAAATATAAAGATTATGGATATTTGACTAAATATAAAAATTATGGATATTTGACTAAATATAAAGATTATGGATATTTGACTACATATAAAAATTATTGATATTTGACTGTGTTTGTAGATACATAATTGTGTTAATTGATACATACATTTGACTGTGCTTGTCGTTTACTGATAATTGTGTTGCAGTTTATGGTACTTAATAGATATTTGACTGCCATTATGTCTTGTGGGTATTGTGATCGTTTTTATGGTTATTAGATAATAGATATTAGACTGTTTGTAGTTGCTTATATTTGGTAAACCATAAATCCATTTTTTTTTTAAATGCGATAACTGTTAACTGACAGTATACTCTGAAGTATCACTTGAAAACAGACGATTTTGTTCCAATACTGGTATTCTGACTATGTCTGTTTAAAGCAGATAAAAACGCAAGAGAGCGAAGAAAAAAACACTTCGCACGGATCAAGACGCTTAATTGAATCGAACATTTGTACGTACATGTAGCAACATGTGAACGTAATACCATTCTTATCGAGGCAGACGCAGTTATACCAATATATATTATCTTGGAAACTTGCAGGATTGTCGGAAAAAAACCGACATGGATTTCGTTTACCAAGAACACGGCATTATCTCTGATTCACCTTTCAAGAATCTGCAGCTGAATCTCTATGCTATTTTTAGCAGCACGTGGTGACCTTTCTCACCTTGACCTCCACCTGACCAAGGTCATTCGGGTGCACCTGCTGCATAAAAGAACATATTTTAACTAAGAAGATGTTTCAATGCAACATCAAATTATAATTCCATAAAAATTGCCAAACAATTCATTGGGTCAATCATTAGCATACTTATTGATTGAAATGGTATGTTCCATCACCTTTTCATGTTTGGACTTTTACCAAAGCTATAGAATGACATATATTTCGTTGACCTATTAAACAATATATGCGCAGAACCTGACTGAAATCTGTAAACAAATCCTTCATCTATAAAACTGACAATTTGTCTACCTTACGTAATGATATATCATACTTTTAAAGGCCATTTTATTGAAATGCATTTAACATTCCACATAGGAAATGACAACTTAGTTATAATTGCAGTTAGCATTCCAGTACAATAATGCATGCCATTTCTTATATAAATGCAATTTTCAATCCAATGAAGCAACGGGGGTTCATTTGAATGGGCGGCCCTTGGGGAGCTGTTTAGAGTGCCGAACAGGAAAGGGGCCATACCGATGTATACCTCCCTATGTTTACTATAACAGTCGGGATACGTTAAGACATGTGTTCCCGTTTACATAGCCATGCGGAAATGACACTTAAATCTCAACGCTCGCGTGCCAGTTTTTTCCCGCCTTTTCCAGACATCAAAACTCGACCACGTTGCTTATAGTATAGTCGTCTGTAGCATAGTCTCACGCGCTGTACGCACTTTGTTATTTATTTACAGAGTTGAATAATTCTAGCAAATCGTCTGCTTCTCTTTAAAGCGCGCGCGTGTGCACGGAAGGACGCTTGTTTGTACACACAGTATATACAACTCGCGAGCATATACCCCAACACATGGGCCGAGAGCGGTGTGTTGAATGTATTAGGCTCACAGGCAGTTTTATAATAGTTCTAAAGTAATTACAAAGAGATCAAGTTGGTAGCATTCCAATTTGAGTTCAGTTCGAGTACGGATTCCACTATGGATGTACCAAGTCTCTCAAACTTGCTGTTTTGTTCTGTGTTTTTTCTGGGATTTCTGGAAAATAGGTAAGTTAAATTTGCAGGTAGATTTTGTTAATCGTAAACGTTACTTTCGAGTGAATGTTTCTATTTAATCTATTCAATGGTTACGCTAACAAGCTCCATTTCTAACCGAATCCTTCTGTTGGTTATTACAGACAAGAACGTTGCATACTATATATAATGCCGCATAATAGTTAACTCCTTAACAATTAAGTTGGCAGCTATACCATAAAATCATTCTAACTAAATAGTTTGATACATGTTAGTTCCATAATATACATTATCCATATGCATTTGATCTTAGGAAATGTCGTTTTTTGGCAGGATAATGGTTGTCAAAGCTTTACTATTGAAGATTTATCATGATCGATATTTTGTTAGGCTATATGTCACCTAACAAAATATATTGTATTACAGTGATCTCCCTTAATACTTGACCTACACATGTATTGTCCGAGCGTTAAAGTGCTGTATGTAATCGTTTATCAAAGAATTAAATACATAGTGTTCCACTCGTACAATACACGTACCCCTACGTGTACCACTCGTACAATACACGTACCCCTACATTGCTTTCATTTTGGACTCCTTTTGGATGGAGGTACTTGTAAAAGAATGGTTGCGTGCAACTTTAATTTCTTACACATTTAAGTTAAAATCTTTAATAGAAATGTCGAGTAGGAATTGAACACCTATGTACAGGTCACAAAGTTGACAAGGTATAATGTAGCTCCGTTGGTCAAAGCAGGAGTATAGATGATCTGAGGCCCAGTGTGTTAACCCTTGGTTTAACCCACTGCTTTGTTACACTCGGAACACTGTTGTTGATTTTATGTTTGTTTGCTTAATTTTAATCATTTTTCATAAAAGTCCGGTATATGTTACAACTTAGCTGTATCTTTGATGAATTATGTTTGAACCGAAAACCATATCATTCGGGACTTCTATAAAAGTAAATACATAAAAAGATAAAAGATAAATTAACAACACATACTCAACAATAGTGTTCTGCGTGTAAATATTAGAGAGGCTTGGCCGGGATTCGAACCCTGGACTTCAAATGATTATACTATTGCTCTAATCAACGGAATTACAACTGTGCTACAGTTATATCCATCATGAAATTAAGGGGAGGTTAATCTAGAGCAGCGGGACATGGGTCCTTAGGCTACGTACTTTAATATTTGAAGATCTACACAATTTGCACTAATTGTAACTATCTGCATTCATAGACATAGCTTGAAGGCTGTAAATGGCCGTTTTTGTTTGGTTAAATGGAATGTAAAAGTATCAAAATCTTTGGATGTCAACAACCGGAAGTTCAGAAGCAGAGCCGGTGACACCTCTCATATTAACTCCTTTGCCAATCAGACTCAAAATCTGTCGTTAACAAGAAATACCACTGTGTTTGCGCTGAAATCGAATGAATCACATGATGATAGGACATTAACTTGCTAACCTGTGAAAATAACTAGAACTAATTTTATGAAAGTATATATAAAACTAAGTAAAATTGTAACGTCTGGCTTGAATAAAGTTAAAGCTTTTGGAGATATACAAAGATGTTTGCATCTCTCCCTTCTTCAGCTTAGTAAACTCTGATTGCGTATAAAGTAGCGTAAAAGGCTCGGCAGATTGATATATGCTTCAAATATAGCGCCGTTCACGCTAAAGCGCGATAACTGTTCGATGACAGCCATTGTTTGGTTCCTATTTGAGATCCATTATGTTTGATTATGCAACAAAGGCGTGCTGGCAAACTTCTTATTTCATGGCTGCACATTCAAAATCCTTTGACGCTAAAGCAAACGATGGCGACTTCCTTTAACGACGTTCGACCGCGTCACTACCAGAGCAGTGTGCCAAGGCGTGTACCGTTCTAAATGAATAAATATGTTCGAAGTGCTACTAATATTACTTAATTAAAAATTCACAAGCGATGAAAAGAAGAAAAGAGTGTTGTTCACTGCGTATTTTCTAAACTTACTAATATATCGATGTAGATTCACTTGAACTATATTGTCCAAGCAACCACGGCTACCGTAGTTACCATCGTAGCAACTTGCTTCGAATGTTTTTTTCTTTGTATAGCATTTGAACATTATTTATGATGTAAATATAAGGACTGACCTGCATTTTGACAGCGTATATGGTAGTATGAACACAGTTGGCAGCGAACATATTCTTTATGGAGCGCTAACGCGATAGAATATGTTCGTTGCCAGCTGCGTTCATAGGTATACGCCGTCAAAATGCAGGTCAATCCTTAATTATCGCCCCCGAAAGTACTCAATTTGCACAACGTTTGCCTCGGAGACCAATTAAGTACACCACTCATATATGTTTGCTAATTTTCTCGATGCAGCAGATTGAGCATTTTGAGATTTTGAATAATTTTATTGAATATCATGAATTAAACAAACTTAGAATACGAATTCTAAACCTCACCACAAAATATGGTACATTTAGCTCGAGTTATTTTATTCTAAAATTGTAAAAAGTCACGGGGTCGACCGATTGTCCGTTTACAATTTTAGAATTAAACTCATGAAAGTTATATAAACGTAACTACCAGCCGCCACGAGTCTGTGGACCAGGTCCTTCCATAACGAACAGATTGTATCTGTAAACTTGTATGTTCAACTTGGAAATACGTCGCTCCTGTTTCCGAACGGGGAATCAAATGCGTCATATCATGACGTCAAAAAAGAAGATACTGCCGCAAAGCGTTTTTCCGTTACGTCATCATTGTAAAATATCGGTCAGCGGAATCACGTCCAACTTATTACTTCCATTGTTGGTAACATATTTTATAATGTTCACCAAACATTTTAAGGAACATTCAACTAAACCTTCACAGGAGTGAAGATATGTAAATTGGTTATTGGGAAATGTATAATGCTTGCGTTAGCGTTACAGCTGCAAAAGAGCACGGAGGATGCAAAAAAATGATGGAGAATTACGCAAACGTAGTTCTAGTAAAAAGTAGTAAGAGTTTTTGGCATGACTAAAGATTACACGCTATAAACCTTTCAAGATAATTTAAGGCAAGTGCGTGTATATGCCTACGAAGCCCCGCATGCCTACGAGGAAACCATAACAAAAAGTTCAATACTGTTCATCCGTACGTACATCAATTCGAGCTACGTTGTGCGGGGCGAGGCTTTCCTGTGATGTAATACGCTCCAGGTCTCCTTCGTTTGATAACGCATTCCAAGGTATGGGTTTAATGAATGAATTGTTGGAGAACGCTGTTGGCGTACTTGGTAACTCGGTTAGTCTCTGCTGGGAAGAGATTATCTTCATTATTCATAAACGATGTCAAGATGTTCTTTTTAGTTCCTGGTTGGCGTAAACAGCTGTGCACGTGCTTGAAGTAATGCAACGCTGTTGAACATAGTAAACAGTCGTAGTAGCAATAGTAGAAAAACTATATACATCGTATTTGTGACGTGATAGCGTGTATCGGAATAGTGTGCCAGTTCATCAATACACCTCTGGTCATTCACTGTCATTTAGAGAGTTGCGACATATTTTTTTCAAAATTCGAATTAGCTAAAAATGTCAAATATTTCTAATCAGTAATAACGGCATCAAATGAAAAAAAAAGGACAGAAAATTGAATAAAATTTTGTTTTATGACTTCATAAAAAAATAAACCCAAACAAACAAACAAATGTATTCGTTTAGTATAAAGAGTTGTGCATGCTTTTAATAATGATATTGATTAACTGCATATATTTGATAACTTGAATAAATTACAAAGAGGAAGATGAATGTTTTTACTTGAAACTAGTTTCGGTACATTACCATGACAATTTTCATTGCGAAAAGTAAAGTTTCTAAGAAAATGTCTCATAAATTTATGGTCCGTTTTTCATTTTTCCACGTTCGAGCAGACGATCAGTCGTTGTTTGAGAGTCAACGTCATTTAAATATGTGATACTTGGTCAAGCGTTTTCACTTTACCAAATAAGTAGTAGGCGTTATTTCTTTTTAGATATTCATCTATTGAACAATCGTCCTTGGTTAGGGCTTTAGTCGGACAGACAGACAGAAAGATAATTTTCGATATCTAATGCTGTGTTATTTTTTGTTGTCATAGATTACAATCTAACATTAACCATAGAAACGTTCAATCTAATTGAAATTATATCTTCACATCGCTCCCGTTTACTGATATGTCGCGTTGAAGATCTAACAACACCCCATAGAGGGTCACATCAGAGGTCAACATGAATGTATTATCGTATTTATAACAAGCCAATCAAAACGCGACATAACTCTTTCTTTCAACCAATCAGAAAGCAGGACCTGTAGCATTTAATGCAGACACCTCGTAGCCCAAAATCAAACTCTTAACAAGCTATTTCCATAAGACCTTTGTTCATACTCCCTCACGCTGTCCTCTAACCTTCGTCCTTCGGAAGGGACGTTAAATGGGGGTCCGGTGTAAGGAGAGTCACGCCTTGCACGTTAAAGCTCACTCTACTGGCTTTCGAAAAAGAGTAGGCTTATTGCTAGCCGCCACGGAGTATAGGATATAAATTTAGACTAGTGTAGGGCTTTAAGTGACAGTCCAAATTGCAATCCCTAAATTATAGAAACTAAAACGTTAGATTCCCATATCCTCCATTTTAGAGCTTTTTGGCAACACTCAAAAAGGCTGGAATTGCAGCCATAGCCCCCCCGCCCCCTTTTTTTTGTCCTAGGCTCGGTTATAACCGGAACAAGGACGTAAAGCCCCATCAATCAATCAATCAATCAGCCCAAAATCGTCTGGTCCAGTGATAGTTTGAATGTTGCGAAGCCTGTCATTGGTTAATTTTAGTTTCAGGTTGTTAAACTTTTTAACGACAACATCACCAGAAGAGGAAGTCTCTCTAATTTCAAAACAAAATCCACAAATTGTACAAACGTTGTCTTGTAGATAAACACAGCGTGGTGTCATGGGCGCCGCCATTTTCGATGCTCATTTGACACCTCTCGGTCTTTTATCATAGCAAGTGTGTTCCGAAATCATTACATCATCACTTACAGAAATGCGTAAGCTCTCATCTGATTGGTTAATGCAAAGGTCGCCTGAACATGACCCTCTACGGGATGTTGTTAGATCTTCAACGCGACATATCAGTAAACGGGAGCGATGTGAAGATATATTTTTAATTAGATTGAGAAACGTTATTCTATTACCGCCGTGTCATTTCAATTCGATTCCCTTCAAAATAAATTTGAGCCATGCAGGCTGTAAGTTTCCAGCGACACATAATTTCGTTGTGTGGTAAAGGACAGTATATTTTCAAATTACAGGGATGTCTGTATATGTACAGTCACTGTCATATTTTTTTACCTACTTTGATTAAAGATGATAGCCAAAGACGGAAAACATTTATAATGCAGGTTAGCATTTATCTTGAGAGTTTCTCTGGCGGCATTTACAGTAACCACAAAGCTGTAGACTTTTCTAAGGAGTGAAGTATTGCCGAAATGAGAAGGAACTGATCTTTAAGCAAAGGGGAGGGAATTCACGTTTGAAGCTAATACAAATTCCGCGCTCCTTCTTCAAAGATTCGTTCTACTGTAAACCAGCTCTGGCGATGACTCCAGATCAATGCGCATTTGAAAATAATATCTTACAAAGTACTGATAAAACCGGATGTAACGTCTCATATCAAACTGAGCTGTCAAATTCCGCGAGAAGTACCCATGTTATCAGGACTCTCGTCGCGTGCCACTAGAGGGGGCTGATATCTCGCCATCGTAAATCCCGTGTCAATATAGGTACTTAACGTAACGTCGTTCATCTGTGAAGATACACTCTTTAACACTTTAAATGTCAGACTGTTAATTAGCGATTTAATCTAACCTGTTTATCACTAGTCGTTCGATGTTTTCCTACACAGATTAAACGTATACAGAATGGTTTATTATAATTCTTGTGCAAATACGCAGGCGCCTTCAAATTCCATGATGGATGGACGTTATAACCCACGTGTTAAATATACATGGCGTCGTATTAAAACCCACTTAAACCTTATAATCAGTAATCAGGGCCCGGACTATTTAGTCATTGTCGTGCTAAGTCGTTCTGATCGGAGTATGTTCGACCTTATTTGTTTGGATTACCCCCGTCCATCTGGCACACCTGTTTGGGGTGCTAATCCCATTAAATATGTTAGTGATAAGGGTCTTGTTCAAAATCATTTTTCTTTTCTGTGGAATTAAACATCGCTTATAAAAAAGAAACAAAACAAAAACAACAAGACCGAGTGTCATGTATATGCCAGTTATCAGATTGTACCAGGTTCTGTACACCACACTGTGATACAATCTGTCTTATACCGATCACTGTGTTAATCCGAAATCTTAAAAACAACAACGACATTAAGCTGATATGGAAACTAAGGTAAACAAAATATCTGTCTAATCCAACCAAATGTATCAGTCCCTTCTATTCGGATAAGACAGGTTTGTTTGTATCTTTTTATATTTCCACTGATCAATCGTTCCCATTTAATTATCTTTAAAGATCTTATGTACTTTGAGAGGTATGTCATGAACTATTTAAATAAAGAATATGTAATACATTCATATTAAATACTATATTTATTTATTAAAATTAATATTTTGAGAAACAATATACAATAGTATTCATGCATGCACGTTCATATTAAAATTCATTGTAGAATATCAAAAAAAATCATTCTGTAAAATTCTAGCAGCAAATTTGAATTTTAACGTCACAAATTGGACAGTTTTTACAAGTCAAGGATGAAAAAAACAAAAAAAAAACTTTAATTCATCATTGACCTAAAGTAACACTCACTCAAACTTGATATATGACGTAATAAGTCCACCAAAATATTTTACCAATTTTTTTCGTCTAAAATAAACTCGCTGGCCATGTTGTGTTGCTCTAGAAACTCCGATCTCGACTCACCTCTACCCCCTCCCCCATTATTGTTTAAATCTAGGTTTTCCTTAGTAAAAGGTCTGCTGGGACGCTTTATAAATGACCTTGCTATACCAGACACTGTTTATTTGGGGATCTGCTCTACATCACGTGTCAAAATATTTATGAAAGTATGACTAATTAAGCTGGCTGTCGGCAGGGGTCGCCACATGCTCAATTTCCCCAGTAGAGCTTGTGGCCAGCTCGCGACCAGCTGGCGACTGTATACTCGCCACAGATATGCCATACATTCTATAATATGGAAAGACACAGTTCGCATTCATATCATGCAGGGTCGGATCGGGAGGGAGGGAGGGGGGAGGAAGGCTTGGGGAAAAGGGTGCTCTTTGCTCTGTTTCATTTGTCAAAACATCTAATTAAGTGATTACGCCTTTAACTTTGGTAATTCATACAGTATGCCAACAATGAATTACTTTGATGATATTGTACGATAAATAATTACCGTCCATCCATCCGTCCTTCTCTATCTTTTTCCATCTAGAAGTCGAACGTGACACTACATGTAACTACAATGCGCGTTCTTTACACTACTCCCCACTCGTCCCGCGTTTTCGCCTTCAAAGACCATCACAACTCGGGTTAGTTTGCTTCCCCGGCAAGGGTTCTCAACTACCTTGATCTGGGAGGTCAGCGACACCAGTTTATAATAGGAAGAAAAAGAATGTTTGCATTTGCCGGAGATCAAAACCGCAATCACTGAGTTTCTAGTCGGACACTTTAAAGCTGAGCTACAGGAACATTCCCTTAAGCCAACGCTAGTAAGGTGACTTTGACACTATTGACATTGCCAATCCATTATAATATTTCATCAATTATCAAAAAGCGTTAGAAGACCATGAACAAATCTTCTACTACCTTTTTTTCTGAAATTTCTGGAAAATTAGTGCCGAGTACAATGCCAAGGAGCTAGAGGGTCACATGACAACATGCATTTTATTTTTGATTTAGACGTTTTGATGTCCGCTATTACGGACTATCGGCCTTCTGCAAACGAGAAAAGATAGGAAAGAGTATGGAAAAGATAAAGTATGTAGAGGATGTGAGGGCTCTGAAAACTGTTTTTTTTTAATAATGCAAGGGTCACGTGATATCGTTTGTGTATATGAAGCCCCGATTTTGTACATATGTAAGGCCCACACAATACAATAAATACATGTTAGCAGCTCTTTTTGTCACTAGATAGGTACAGGTAGATACTACCTTCACATGTAGGAAATATAGTTTCAGTTTATCCCACCGTCAGTCCCCATATAGTCATCCCTCTATTTATTGTTACAGGCCATCGTATATAACCGTGCGATAATCCTTTGCTTGAGTTGTGAAGCAATCAGAACACATAAAACAGGGCATTACTCACACATTAAAATGTCATGATTAAAATAAAGAAAACCAATATAAATTCTTTCTCTACTTACTCATTTTCGTGAAGGCATTCCTAGATCGTACGATGGTGTTATTTAAAAAAAATCGTTTCTGAGTTGGTGCCAGTAATTTGTTTGCACTTGCGTTTCGACACAAATTCAATTTGGCAAGTGTAATTGTGTTTGTGTTAAAACTCATTTTTGTTTATTTTCTTTGGTTACAGCTGTGTCGGCCAGAAGCTGGAGATCTCTGCTTTTGAGTACAACCGGAAATTTGGATCAGCTCTGGACATTGGCCAGTGTTCCCTTAAAATTGAAGAGATTTCAACAGGTGTTCCGGTAACCAGGAGCTGGTAAGGACTCACCCTATAAATAAATATTGTTATGGACATATATCCCGTAACTAAGGGTTGATAGGTATAAATACCCCGTTATGAGCGTGTGTCGCGTAACAAAGATTCATATGAAAACTACGTCATGACTTAGTGGCTGTGACGTAAATACATATAACGAATGGTAGGATAGGCATTCGGAAACAAGGGCTTGTTAGGTAGACACACCCGATACCGTCACTAGGGATTGTTAAGTACACACCCCGAAACAGTAACTAGGGATTTCTAGTTAGACACACCCGATACCGTCACTAGGGGTTGTTAAGTGCACAGACCCGTTACCGTCACTAGGGGTTGTTAAGTGCACAGACCCGTTACCGTCACTAGGGGTTGTTAAGTACACTCACGCGTTACTGTCACTGGGGGTTATTTGGTACACACATCCGTTACCAACACTAGGGATCGTTGTGTAGACACACCCTTTACCGTAGTTAAGGGTTTTTAGGTAGACACACCCGTTACCGTAGTTAGGAGTTTCTAGGTAGACACACCCGTTACCGTAACTAACAGTCGTTCGACACTTACATCCGTTACCGTCACTAGGTGTTAAGTACACACAACCGTTACAGTAACAAGGGGTTTCTAGGTAGACACACCCGTTACCGTAGTTAGGGGTTTCTAGGTAGACACACCCGTTACCGTAATTAGGGGTTTCTAGGTAGACACACCCGTTACCGTAGTTAGGAGTTTCTAGGTAGACACACCCGTTACCGTAGTTAGGGGTTTCTAGGTAGACACACCCGTTACCGTAGTTAGGGGTTTCTAGGTAGACACACCCGTTACCGTAATTAGGGGTTTCTAGGTAGACACACCCGTTACCGTAACTAACAGTTGTTCGGTACGTACATCCGTTACCGTCACTAGGGTTTGTTTGGTACATACATCCGTTGCCGTATTATTGGTTGTTAGGTAGCCACACCCGTAACTAGAGTGACTTAGGTAGACAACAAGGTAACGACAATAAGGATCGTGACGTACATACCAATAACTGTAACTAGAGGCCATAATGTATATAACAATCACCGTAACTAGGGGAGGTGATGTACACCCCCCATCAACGTAACAAGGATCGTGATGTACATACCTTGCACCGTAACTAGGGGCCGTGCTTTGCATACCCCTCACTGTAACTAGGGGCCGTTATATACATACCCAATCTACGTAACAAGGACCGTGATGTACATACCTTGCACCTTAACAAGGGCCGTGATGTACATACCCACCACTGTAACTAGTAAGCGTTGTATCCATACCATCACTGTAACAAGGGACCGTTATACACATACCCCTCACCGTAACTAGGGAACGTTACATACATACCCCTCACCGTAACTAGGGAACGTTATATACATACCCCATCACCGTAACAAGGTCCGTGATGTACATACCCATCACTGTAACTAGGGGCCGTGATGAACATAGCCATCGCCGTATCTAGGGTTTGGTAGGTACGGCGTGCACCCGTTACCATCATTAGGGGTTGGCAGGTAACACACTCGCAGATTGGACATCATGGGCCACATGTGGTGCAGTTAACACTTATCCTCCTGGTGCAGCAATTATTTAGCATCCGTCTTATGGCTGATCTATACTTTAACATATCAGAATGTCATTGGACATCGTCTTGACCTAACAACTTTGAATTCCATTTTTCACCCCATGTGTTAGCTCTATGGTGTATGTTTTTCATATAATTGCATGATTTAAGTATACAACGTTTAAGCTATCTTTCTTATGTTAAAGCAACCTCTTATTTGAAAGAAAAGTTCAATTCAGCTTGGTTGTTTTGAAATGAACTGAGCTGCATTGCAGTAGAATGCACTACGTTTAAAACCAAATGTTGGAAATATAGTGACGTAAAAATGACGGCCCGAAATGATTTCCATGAAGCTGTCTTCAAACTCTTAGCAAGACGTTCACTTTGTTTACACCAGTTAAGCGTGTGGCGTCAATTATGGTTATCTTCCGTCGATCAACAAAAATAGCGGGCGATCTGTCACGTGCCGGCAGACCGGAAGTGAATGACAAAGATGATTTTCGGAAGAGGAAAATGTAATACATATCATTTGTTGGAAGTCAAGGGTTAAATACTTGCACGTGTGTGAAGACCTTGCTTGTCTAAATTATTTGTAGTTTTTGTGTATCCAGATCGTGGCCTTTCGATTAGGGAGGAAACATTCCACTGTATAGATGTAACATTAGCACGAGAATAAACGTGTAGAGTACTCTTCGAAGCTAGCAGATATCATTCATTAACGTTCTATCTGATCCGAATAGAAAATTCCAGCAATATCCATGTCAAACATTACATACAAAATCCACAACGAGTTCAAATAAAAGGAAACATTAACGTTTAAAATTATCTTTTATAATTATGATAATTAACTAATGAATGTTAGATAAACATGAATAAAAGTAAAAGCGAGTTTGGGGACCTTTTTCCTCCATAACGTCTAAAAGATATCTAAAAAACAATTTGTTTCCCTTGGAAATGCATTTCATCTGTTACTGATCGGGTTACTATTCCCATGAAACATGACGTCTCAACTGAAGATGACGGCGCGAACATTGTTACTTGGCGTCACAATTAAATTCATGACCTATGAAATAACGTTGAAAACGTTAAACCAAATCCTAGCAGGTTTTATTTTGTTAAGGGGTCGGAAGTGAGGAAACCTGGTTGTTGGAGAAAATTAATACGCACTTTTAAACTTTGTAATAACAATATTTCTCTTCGTCGAAGATGAAATGTCTCGAAATTATAAACGAGTTATGCAGGCAAGAGTTAACAGGGAGTCGTTATAACTGTTATACTATAAGAAAAATATATTTACGGCCACTCTGCGTTAACGTAAATTACAATCACTATTTTGAATGATAGTTGGTGCTAGGCAGATGTGCGGTAAAGGAATATAGTCAACAAGACAATATTGTACAGGGCTAACTTTGATGTTAATACATATCGGCGTAATTTTTTTTTTTTATTCCAAAAGTTTCCACACTCCTAACTCATTAGGTAAACCTGCTAGGAGTTGGTAAATATTTTGGTTACCCACTACTGGGTACATATCACACACTGGACGTGATTTCATTGTTTAATGTTCTAATTATAATGTCAACAAACAATGCTTGGCGACGCCATCTTCCATTACGACGTTATTGTTCATGGCAATAGTTTCCCAGATCGGAAACAGGAAACATGTGTCCCAAAAATAATATCGTTAGTTAGTTTTCAACTTGAAAAAACACTTGGTAGACCTCGTGTCTTTATACAATTGTAAAATTGACTACATGTAACTCGAGTTAGATAAGCATGTGACCAACAATCACATGTGTTTTGAGACTTTAGCACAGTTTGGTCACGTGACAACTATCGTGACGTCAGCGATATGATTGTACCAACACTGGATTGCTATTCCAAGAACTTCACGCCTGACGTACAGATAGTGATACACGTAAATAAAGCATTATTACGCAATCAAAATAAAAATACAAAACAAAATAATGTCTTAGCAAATTCCGTTGCTGCCAAATAACAAGCATTGCTACTGATAACAAACTGATACAAAGCCCCACAACCAATTAAGTAATGCATAATGGCGGTTGTCGTTCACCTTTTGCTCTCCTACACACTTGGGTTTATATTTTATTGTACAATTTTTGCAACAGTACTGAATGCGTATGAATCTTATTTCTATTCATATTTTGCCATGGTTTCATCGATTTTTAGTTTTGAAATACCATTTCGTTTTCACTTCGGTGTTCTTTCGTTGTCTATTTATCGACTATTTGTCATGACATTTGACAGTTATTTTAATTACCGAACACGTTGTTTTGCAATGTACTAACAGTCATTCTACTCTATTAGACAGGGACTTTAATTATAGTGATTAACGGAAATAAACATTATATTTGAAAAGATTTTAATTCATTTAGTTATAAATTACTAACCATGATATTTGACAGTGGTTAACTACGTTTATGTATCAATAAACACATTATTTGACAAGGTTGTAAATAAGGTGATTTATGATAAGATATGCTAGATGAGAAATACATACATTTCATACCCGTGAAGTACGTAGTAAAATGTGGCCCGTTACACAGATTTACTCGACACACGGAGTCGTGGCCTATAGTGTTATGTGCTTTATAGGGTTGCTGACTAGCACTAGAAGCCACATGGTCTATGATTGGGTCCAGGTGTCGATATAACGAGTGTTTACCGAAAGTCTGGTCCGACTCAAAGGCCAAGTACTCACCCTGTGTACAAACATATCGCAGTAGACTTAGCTTAGCCGACCTTAAATGTAATTTTCGATTCGATTAACTCTGTATCAAATCCAAATGATGAGGTCTTAACGAGATGATTGCAAACGGCCGGTCTGAAACAAATCGGGCGGTGTTTGTTGACGATGATAAGAATGCTGAGCATTGGTTTAGAATTCAAAATCTTGAGTATTCTTTCCGGGTCTGTAGAATCGTAGGTCGCCATTTCTTACACAGTGTCTTGTCATAATCACAAAGATAAAACGTTGCAAACATTTAGTCATCTGCGTTCCAAAGTCTTTAAATATTCGCTTATCTTTTAGTCATTTTTTCCCATATAGATTATTCCGTTTTTTATCAATTGGTCTTTCCTCATACAAGCTGGCACCGAAACCACGAAACAGTCTTCAACTTTTTGCTTATTGAATCTGTTATGATGTCCCTGTTCTTGACATTATTTGTGACTTGCTACGTCAAAACGTAGGACAATTTTAGACGAAAGACCGTGTCTTAATCCATGACCAAAATTCGCTAACTGCAATATATGTATTTCATTAACTGTGAGAGAAGTATTTCATTTACTGTGAAAGAAGTATTTCATTTACTGTGAGAGAAGCAATTCATTTACTGTGAGAGAAGTAATTCATTTACTGTGAGAGAAGTAATCCATTAACTGTGAGAGAAGTAACCATTAACTGTGAGAGAAGTATTTCATTAACTGTGAGAGAAGTAACCATAAACTGTAAGAGAAGTATTTCATCGACTGAGTTTTTGTAACATGACATGTAATATTTCCATTCTGTTTGCTTCGACCAATTGACGAAAATTATATTAATTTATTTGCATAACACAGGTGACCTCATCACTGCATATATATGGAATATGTCCAGAAAGCCAGTGTTGTTATAAACTCATGAATGTTGAAAGACTTAATTTCATTCCTTAAATGAAATAGTTAATGAATGTCAGCTGGTTGGAAATGTTTTTAAACGAACAAATCATTATCAGGTGTACCCATTTACCGCCGTCTTCAAAGTTTGTTTAGATGAAGTGAGGTGAAATGTTTAAAGGCTGTCGTAGTTCCTCATTATATTAACTCCCTTCAGCTGTCCTCCCGATTTAATGACGGTTTACATCTAAAGTTTTTACACGTGTGAAGTGTGCTTGTGATTCATGCTTTCATTTAGAGTTTAAAGATGTTTCTCATTAAGGCTTCGTTAAGTAGCGGCGAAGAGCTTCTGAAATGACATCACTTCTGCATTTTAATCTGTAAACTCCATTTCACCAATGTGTTTCAAAGTCGTATAAAAACGTGTCTGCTGCCTATATCATTCACCGGTTATAAAAAATAAGCTCTTGATAACAAATGAAGGAAAAAATCAACAGTATTTCTCTTTTGACTGTCAAGTTCTACTTGTCATTTTGGAATCTGTCAAAGTTTCGTTGTACTAAAGTAGTAGATAATTTGGTAAGCAAGGTTGGTACTGACTTCCGACGTTCATTAAAACCAGAAAAGTTCTGTGTTTGACAAACAAGCTTAACATCTATTCAAGGATTAACTTCTATCCCGTATTTTACAGTATAATGTAGGAGAAACATAGGGTTAGCATTGCTACTTGAAAAAATGTTAGGTTGATTTGCCATAGTATAGAGACTTTCTAGTTGTTATAGAAGGCACAGGTCTGTATTTGTATAACACAAACATGGTGCATCTCTGACGACTTTAGATCGGACGATCATATCTCAAAGACATGGTGTAGTGAGTACCATCTTGACGTGGTGTCGAGTTCTTCTTTTTCAATTGCTTTTTTTTTTATCGAAATGGTCCACTTTCTACTGTGTTAGGATTTCTCCTAATGGATAAAACTATTTTTCAACATCTCCAATTGGTTAAATCATAATCACGTGGAGTTCGGTGATTAGTTATATTTATTCTATATTTAGAAGCACAAGGTTCATTTTCTCTTTGTAGCATCACTACAATTGTAACGTTACGTTGCTCTTTGCCGAATGTGGTATTTTGTTCTAAATTTTGAAAAAAGGATAACATTGAATGATGAGTTACATATCGCAAATTTGTTTGCTGATTGGCCTTTATTTTAACTAAAGCATGACTCTGAATATATTTTATGATAGTTTTTAGTCAACATTTTTATCGTCAACCTATATTTTACTATTTAAGTGGGAAAACTTGAAAAGTTTCATATTTTCCAAAACACACAATAGCTAGCGATGCAATTAGGAAAATATTTAACTGGTTTTCTTATTTCTGTTTTGTAGCAATTTACCCAATAAACAGGGACCTATACGAAGTGTATCCAAGGTCCTGAATGACACTCGCAATTTTGAAGTTCGGCGATACAATGACATCTTCGTGTTCATGGGACTGTGTGACGCTAAGACAGTGTCGAGTCTTGGGCTTTTGCACAAAGGCGACTGCTTTGCGGTAAGAAATAAAACATAAAATCGTTATGTACATAAATCGTTGTAATTCTACCGAATGGAGAGGATTGTTGTCTTATTGCCGGCAAAACTCTAAAGACTTCCACTGTAAATTTTCGTATACAGATATGTACAGTTTATAAATAGTAAATGTTATTTTACATTTTTCGACAAATGACAAATTATTAAATGAGAAGTATCAACGGTAAATAAGGAGAGAAGTTTATTCTTTACCTCCGTATATACAGGATGTTTAACGCTGCCGATTCGGCATTTTAATCAAGAAATGCTTTTACACATTTAAGGTGGAAATAGCCAGTAACCTCACCTTCAACCGTAAGACCTACATCCGGGCCTACGTGGAGTACTACCGCCGGAGCGTGGACATACAGGAGGATGGAATAGCAGTAAATCCAGCAATGGCACAGCATTACAATGGGGCGTACTACCTTCGGGATAGAAGCTACGGCATACTTGAGATCATTGTCGTCGAGATGAAGTTCCGGCATGCGAGGGCCGTGAAGCTCTTGACAAAGGCCAACTACCAGTCGCAGTCTATGCATGATCATATGATATTCGCTGATAACGAGGCAGGAGAGCCCTACAATACAAAGGTGAGTATTGTGACGTATTTCCCTGTTGCATTGATAATATCCTGGTCACTTCAGACAGGTATGATTCGTGGACATATCAATATATCTAAATTTGTGATGTTCTCCACAGGTCGTCTAGGAGTAATTGAGAGTGACTTCATCTTCCCGGAAGGACTACAAATGGAGACCGATAATATACATTATTACGGTCCAAAAATACGTTTTCATTTTCAATATTTTGACTTCATTCTCGTGAATGCCTCATCTCTATTACCGAAATTAGGCTAACTAATTACTTCGAATCCCATGTGACTATATTCCCGAGGACCTGATAGGTACGCCGTGGCTTGGTATTACATGTATAAGCAACAAGGAAGAAGTTCAAATAGTTTAACTTTATAACCTGAAACCGCAGTACATATACATGATACAGTTCTCCTAATCAAAATGACGTTATTTATTTCTAACCTCTCCATGGTGTGTTTTCAATCATATTTTGATACAAGACAAGACAACAACCTTAAAGGATTTCCACTTCAACCATGTGATGAAGGAAGCTGCTTACAGAGAATTTTGTAATATTATTACTTGGAATTGACTTAATTTTTTTATGGCGGGACTCATCGATGAAGCAGAAGACGCATAACCTTCCGAAACACATGGTCTCATTTTCCTTGTTCTTTCTAGCGTCTAACTTTAATCTTTTCTTTGTTCGTATTTTGCCCTTGTTCAAATTTAATTGAATAGAATACCAATGTATCTTTCTGATGTAAGTCATAGGTAACAAAAGCCTCCGTCAAAAGGATACTTCCGGAGTTCTTTATGTTACGTCTATACTTGTTATAAGGACTCACACAACTAAATCATTTTCTCTATGTTATTACCAAACATTTCAGCTAATAACTTTAATATTTGAAGTTCAAAACCAGTGACAACTGTTTAGATTCATAAATACATAACTTGCAAAGGCTACAAAATGACTTTTTTGGTAGGTTTAGTGGCATATTGGAGTGTCCCAGCGCCAAGAAGTTGACAACCGGACGTTTACACGCCCCCAGAAACGCCCCCAGACATTTCCCCCCTGTGCAAATCCGCACACTGACATGAAAATATGTCAAAAGTATATATTTTTCAAAAGTTAAATACCTGAACATTTCATTTATCTAAAAATCTGTCATAAGTTCCTTATTAAACTCCTTCAGTGGCCCAGTAATTAGCCGGAACTTATTTCAGATAGGAACTACAAACGTATGAAACACTTGCTGATTGGCTGATTTAGTTGTGTGGGTCCTTATAACACCCGGGCCTATAGTGTATACACACATGTACACTAGTTGTGAGGGTTCCATGAAAATGACAGGTAACTCCCGAAACGGTTCGTGTAGATTTCTGGCTACGCCTCAGTTTTCTCATAGGTCTCCTGTTATAGTTCCTTTTGTTTTATTTAATCTTTACTCCTGTTGTTGTACTTTCTAACAATCTTTCTATTCATCATTGTATACTTTTTTCGGCGTTAGTCTAATTTTAAAGAATAAAAAGATAAAAAACTGAAATTAATATGAAGGGTTTCAGCTAAAAGTGAAAAAAGTTATACCGTCTTATTGTCTAACCTCGTAGATAAGTCTTCTTTGTTATCCTTGTGGTAACTAATTGAGTTGAACCTAAGTAGCATTTCTCAACAACAATAGTGGATTTGCAAAGTGTTATATCTTTAGACAATGGGTTGTGGTTATTAAGCTTTTGATATCGCTTTCCTCGGTTCTCACTGATCTTTGATACTAGTTAATAGAAATAAGAGTATGTTTACATAATTGCCATGTGGGTTATGCCTGTACTTCAACATCAATGTAATATACTCTTTTGTTGTATTTCTGCAGATTATTCGAATATCTACTGCAGAGAACAAGGTTGAAATGACCCAGTTTAGGAGGAAACAGTTCTTAAATGCCTGCAGACATGTAAAGCGATATGAGCAAGATCTGTACCGTCTCCGCGAGGAAATGTATTCAAGGAAGCCGCATCTCAATTACGGGATGTTACCGTTTCTTCCTAAACCCAGAGGTAATGACTGCTCCCTTCTCTACACGTAAATAAACTATTCCAGGGAAAGGACATACTTTGGAGTTGTTTTAACATCAAAACAACAAATCTGATATTTTCCATCCTGTAAACAATACTTGCGGGGACAATAATTTTTAATAATTTAACATTATATCAACAACTCTGATACGAAATAGCATGATAAATAGTCATTTATGTACATGTATGTGTGTTGCGTGTTTTCTGGTGCGTAGGAATTATTAATAAACGTTCTAGGCTTTAAATAAACGACCGGTGAATGTCATTCCATATTGACCTCATATGTAGGAAAGCTGTAAGGCGGTCGTAGCCTTAACTTTACTACAACTTTCTCGCCGGAAAATTTAACTTCTTTTTGGTGTTGAAAATGCTTTGCACCGTTGAAAAGATGGGTGACGCAGGATGTTCTACTTGCCCCCGAAAAGCTTTGAGTCTATTCATTACTTTCAAAGTGAAACGACCAATATATTGGTCCATCAAAAACTTCTTTCTAGTAGCTTTTGCTTACAAAAATGATATCAATTACATAGTTATGTACCATAGATGTCACCTTTTCTACATTATCTTCATCTGCAGCTGAACAGAAAATAGATTACGCCATTTTGAATGGTCAATATAAAATCAGAACTTTTTGTATACCTGCAGTGACGATATAAGTTTTGCTGATATTTCACTGGTACAAATGTAATATAAAAATGATAATTATCACGCCTTAAATTAATATCTTTCACTGTTGCTTTACTGCACGTTAACCTTAATCATTCCACTGTTCCGTCTATAAAACACTTTTTTCTGATTGATAGGTCACTGTATTCCGTCTTAGCGTATTGCAGAGTTATGTTCTCTTGTAAGCAGGTATTGATTGTTACTTCATTTGTTTGTGTGAGAAAATTACGTCGCTTTCTCAAAAATGTATGACGTTACTCTCAGAAACAAATGACGTAACAATAAATACCTGCTCGCAAGATCAGATTACTCTGCAATACGAAAAGAAGGAATATAACAGCTTCATTGCCATGTCCCTGTCTGTTACTTATCACACTAGTATTATTCGCTTCAAATAGACACTGTCTTTAAATGCTACTGTATGTTCACAGCTTTAGGACTTTCAAGCGGAGGTGACATGCTGACATGGGAGACTGCCACAGCGATAGAAATAACGATCAATCGGGGCATTACCATCTACAAAACCCTCAAACGGACGGTAAGGTGGAAAGGCAGACAGAATAGGATTATGATACATATATAAAAATTGAAGAATTATTTTCAGTTGAAATGATTAATTTATTCATCAGATTATTACAATTGCTATTTTAAAGTTAAGTTCACAATGTAAAAGACAGCAAAAGAATACCGATATGTCAACAAAACTATAATTGAACTCACAATCTACAATAATAGGGCAAAATATGAACAAAGGAAAACATTGCAAGGAAACCCTTGACAACATATCTGAGGGTTAAGCGTCATTGTAAAAAATAGGTCAAATTCTATATTTCATTAAGCATAGAAACTGTCGTTTAATTTTTCACAAAAGGTATGTATCAATCTTTCTAAAAAAACAAAAAAAAATTCCATCAATTTGCCAGTTTGTAAACGCTTCTTTACTTGGTATTTTATTGCTTTTCTAGTGTAACCGAGCCAAGATTCCAAGATGCAGCCTACTGAAATACGTCAAACGCGAGTTAAGGAGCATCAAAACAATCATTCACAACAAAAGGTCAAAATGGAGTTATCTCCCCGCCGAAGAACAGGTCACGACCAACAAACTGTACAGTGGACGCGTGCGCAGAATACAAAAGGAAATTGCTAGCATCCGCAAGAGTCTAAAGCAATGGCGTATTCAGCAAAGAAAAACGAAGACCGCCATAAAGCTTGCTAAACGACGCAAAGCCAAATCAAAATCGCAGAAATATCCATCCCTATGGACGAGAGACAAAACGAAGGACAACAGAGTGCATATTTCGTGACATTTCTGACAATCCAGACATCACTCGATACCTTTACCTATATATTACAAAGTTACAGCACAACAAGGTGGTATCACAATTGACAATGCCAGTAAATGGTTTCGGATGGTACAATTTGAATAGGGCTTGCCTTCTATATATATTTCTCTTTTGACGATAGCTTTTCATCGGTCTGTAAACTTGGAATTTTTACAGTGAAAGTTTGTGGTAAATAAAGTGACATTTTGAAAAGGAAATGTACGAAACAATGAATGATGTACATAGACGTTATTGCTGTATACAGATATGTGTAAAATTTTCTATAATATGAACAAGTGAACGATTGTGCCAAGTGAAGACACTGTATGAAACAGTGAAATTTTCATATAAAACTACGTGTTTTCTTCAAGTTGCAGGTCAAGACATACATTTGCAGCTAGCCTGAGTGTTTTAATGCACTGAATACTGTTCATGTAGGACATAACAGCAAATGACAACGTCATGTGCGACATTAATTGCCAACATCAGATTATTGCCAAAATAAGGTTATTGACCTCGTTAAGTTGCGTGGATTCAGTATTTCAGTATATACCCACGCTATGCTTCCGGTAGCAGTTCATGTTATTGAAATTAAAACCTCACTCTGAACGGGAAATAGGAAGTGATGCAGGCAATTACAACATTGTTTCAACTTCCCTTTTCTTAATTTCTTGTTAAAATGAACTTAAGTTTCATTAAACTAGTTCAGTTCCTTCATATAAAAAATCAACACATGATCGGAGTGTCTACATTAACGTTATCTATCAAAATATTGAGACATTTTGCATCTACTGTCCTTGTGGTCGGGAAACATGATTCTTTGTTTCCCAGATATGAATTTTGTTTTAATCGAGCTTATGGTTAGTCTTGAGGAAACAAAAAGAATTTGTTTTGATTTACCTAAACAACAGAACAATAACACAAAAGTAAAGATTATCCTGCTTGCGCACAATTAATGTTATCTTCTAAAGTCATCCTAGTTATTGATATATCGGGAAACAAATTCGAGAGCGAGAGGGAATCGGGACGTTTTACATCAGCCATGTGATCAGCTTGATCCAATCAAACACGCATGGTAAATTGTTTTGCATCTTGGCGCTTTCAATTTTGACTGCTATACAGATTTCATAGTTTATTTATTTATTCATTTACCTTTTTTGGGCTGATTTTTTAAATGCAAAATTAGCGAAAACATTTATTAGCGAAAACATTTACACAGCAAAACACTCATTTTATACAGTATCAACAAGTGGTTATATATTGTGATATTGTGATATTTACATTTTATCTATTTGTTTAATGACGAGCGTTAAAAGAAATGGTCGTAAAAAAGTATCCAAGCATAACAAGTAGTTTCATTTTACGAATAAAACAATATTGTTGCTAGGATTATTTGAATGCGTTGCAGAGTTGCTAAAGTACTTGATGTCAGTATTGTTGTCGTAATGCGTGTGTATGTTATGGTACTGTCACGGTCGCAATGTCTCCGAGCTGAAACACTATATGTTAATTAAAAATAGTTCAGTAGTTCCGGGGTAAATTGTGCTTGTCATGTTTTAGATTTTTTGACGTTAAGATGTGTGTAAATATTTTCAAAGTGACATAGACAGTATTATCTTCATGGCTGGTTTCTCCGTTACTTTGAGTCATTCGTAGGCTGAAATAAGAAAAAGGCAAAACAAAATAAAAAGTGTTCCGTGCATTACGTGATATTGATTAATGTTTGCTTTGATTGTTTTCAATAATTGGCGTGAATGTTAATTTACACAAAACAATATCGTTCCGTCTTCACCGTAAAACCGTTCACAAAGTTTGTTTGGCATAGCCAGTATAGTATTGAATAACTTGCTGTTGTTATGCCGCTAATGTTGAACGTTATAGTAGAGTCAAGGTTCCCATGACTGTACTGCTTGTCATTTTCGAAATATTTCCACGTTTCAAAATGTATTTCTTTAATATCGTTTACCTTGCAAGTAGAGCAATATTAGCATAAGTGTGGTTATAAGTCCCTTTCCTTTCCAAGTGTTACAGAGACATGTGGACGCACACTTGAAAGTCAGAGATCTCATGGTTTCACGTCAACTTCTTTTTGAGGACATAAGGGTAAGTGATAGATGAAAAAAATGCGTCTTACATTTTATATATATCCCAATAGAAATTCTGTACCGACAAAATGTGAAGTGGACTCGTAAGTTCTAAAAGTAGTATGTTGCTATCAAGTTTCTAGTGTTTTAACTACACTTTTAAGATTTATGCTTTACATTTATGTAACACGTCCAATAGCATACTAATTAGAACGTTCGTTGTTATTGGTATTCAGGTCGGTATTAGAGATCTTAATTGTATTTTTTTTTCTCCAAAGAACTTTGAACGGGCATGCCCATAAGGTTTGATAGTTTGTTTTTGAATAACGGCACAAATTGTTAAACAAAGCAATCTTAACAAAATCAGAATACTGCATATGATGAATTCAATAACCCGGCGTATATTTCTGTTGAAATACATTTCATGTACATCTGTTATAACTGATGATTGTTAAACAAACATTATCATTTAAAAGAAGAAAAAAATAAATGAAAATATATATCAGGAATTCATCTAAATGGATATGTTTAAATCAGCGCTAATGAGACGTTTGAAACGCAATCCCAAAAGGTATTATTCACAAAAAAAGAAATTTCCAGTATCAAAATCTATCGGATAACTTATGTCAGGTAATGGTTTTCCATTTTCTTTATATTCTGTAGTATTTGAACAGCAACGGCTTTTCGGAGCAGAAGTAACGATGTACATTGTACTAAATTGTGAAGCGCATGTACTTGTATTGATTTATTATGCTATTTGTAATTTGATATCATATCTGAGATTTTTATGTCAAGAATTTGATTTGCTATGGGTATGACTTAAATGACATTTATGGTATAAAGTTTAGTTTATATACCGTTCTTTTACTGATAGTATGATATAAGTAAACGCCTAAACTCTTATTAAATTGTCCAAATTAATGGTATACTAGCATGTTTCTGATGTTCGAGCCGAGTCTCGGATAAAAAGGAAATGGACTTCTGAGATTCTCATAAACTTTGTGGTATTGGCAATAGTTTTGAAGTCATACCAAACACGCAGAACTGACTTGAAACTCTAATTAAGACATTTATTTTCTTAAAAGAGGAAAGTGTCCTTGCCATCTGCATGGATATACACTGTAAAACCTGGTTCAAAGTTATAAATGCAGGGATATAAACCGATATTCAGTCTTTTGTCTTGTTTTTGTTTTGAAATGTTATGACATTTGTGAGTGCAACAAAGTGTATTTTCACTTCAACCGCCTTTTAACTTCACATTTCGATATGTAGAATTCCTGTATTTTCAGTATAAATACATGTATACGATGTATTATGTCTAAAAAGACGCCGTACTGCAACAGCTAAAATTCACGCTCTTTTTGTAAATTTCTAGAACATTTATTATAGGTTGAACTGGTGAGTAATACAAATTAGAAGGAAAGCAGTCCGCTCACGATGATTTATCGCTGAGTGGAATAACTCTGTTTAATGACTGAAAGCACTTAGTGTAAGTATTTCATTTTTTTCGCCAAATTAATTGTAAGATTTATTTTAACATACAAAAACATTAACAGAAAATCATATGAACATCTGTGTTTTCCAGATTTCTTGTACAAACTTTAAAGTGTATGCAAATTAGTGAATGTTATGTTAATGGACGTAAAATGAAAGTTTAACGTCATTGCTTACAAAGCAACCCATTTGTTGTCTTTGTGTTATTAGCGGCTTTTATGGGAGTTATCTTAACAGTTTACTGCTGTTTCAGCCATAGTTATAAACGAAGAATGAAATATTTAAGCTTAACTGAAAACTAGAAAAATGGGATAAATTACTTTGATTTTATGAGGAACGACTATTTTCATTCTTATTCAACTTACTCCGCAATACATGTAAAGTGAAAATGAGTAAATTCACTGCGCCATATCATGTCCTGAGTATCGTGAATCTATGGATAAATTCATACGTCCAGTTGACACATTTATTTCTAAACCAGTACTATCTATTGGCGACCCTGTAATAGTTCGATGGGGTGGTAGTACAAAAAAACACCAACATTTTGATTAACCATCTACATGTAATATGTCATAAATTGCACACACATCTAACCACTATTTGTATATAATGTAAATATATTGACTGTATATCATTAAATATTGACAGCTTTTATTGTTCGCTACCGATGTTTCTTAGAGCACATCAGTAAATGAGCATTGAGAAGAATGTCACAAACAAGTCACTGTCAATGTGACATCGACACGAACAAGTCACTGTCAATGTGACATCGACACGAACAAGTCACTGTCAATGTGACATCGAACAAGTCGCTGTTATTGTGACATCGACACGAACAAGTCACTGTCAATGTGACATTGACACGAACAAGTCGCTGTCAATGTGACATCGACACGAACAAGACACTGTCAATGTGACATCGACACAAACAAGTCACTGTCAATGTGACATCGACACGAACAAGTCACTGTCAATGTGACATTGACACGAACAAGTCACTGTCAATGTGACATCGACACGAACAAGTCACTGCCAATGTGACATCGACACGAACAAGACACTGTCAATCTGACATCGACACGAACAAGTCACTGTCAATGTGACATCGACACGAACAGGTCACTGTTAATGTGACATCGACACGAACAAGTCACTGTTAATGTGACATCGACACGAACAAGTCACTGTTAATGTGACAATGTGACATCGACACGAACAAGTCACTGTTAATGTGACATCGACAAGAACAAGTCACTGTTTATGTGACATCGACACGAACAAGTCACTGTCATTGTGACATTATTCTCTTACATTATCCGTTTATATTGTGTACATAAGAAGATGTAAATAATATTGACAGCTGCCATGTATATTTCGTGTTATTTTGTTCCTGTCCTTTCACGTGTTTGTGAGCATGGCATTACTTTTTAATGACGTGACGTATTGATGATAATATTATTCATGTTGATTTCGCTTTTCATGGTACAATGCACCATAAATCGAGTTTATGTCATGGGTTTGTAGCATAATAGTCATATATAATTCGTGTGTTCATTGAAATAATGTTCACGTCTATTACGTGACACAAGTATGTTGTATGTTCATGACATTAGTATTTGCGTATAAATATAGTTTTAATGGCATTAACAAATAAAACATGAAGTGTATTTTAAAGCAGTGTTAGCGTCATTTTTTAGATTCGGTGTCCGAAGGTTTCCTAATAATGCTTGAAGATCTATGATAAGTGTTAGAATACTAACGTTACCACGCTGAAAGTGCTATATTATATGTTAATTGTCTTCGCTGATTCTTGGGAAAAATTCACCAAAACTCCCTTGGTATCTTATAAAGACGTACTGAACACAAAGTTATTCATATTCTTATTGGTTTTTTTTGCACACCGCAAGACAATACATTAGCAGGAGGTTGGTCTTATCTGTGTGCCTACAATGTAAAAGGTTAGAAATTGCTGTGCACTTTTATTGTATGTATGTTACATCTGCCGTGTTAATGCACGTGCGGCGGCCCAAATAGGCACGTGCCATAGCGTTGTTTGTCAGCCAGCTTTACATTTACGTTTAAGGGTTAGACAGGGCCGTCTGGCTATAATTATCAATTTTCTATATAAGCATAAGAAAATTGATTTTAAGTGTGAGAAACATGCCAAGTTGTGTAAACAAGACTACGTACATAACACATGGCCGGGGACGAGATGTGTCTCGGTGGAAACAGGGAGCTGGTAGTCAGACAGTTTTTTTCTCTTAACTCTTTACAATTACTGAAGTTTTTATGGAAACCCAATCTATTTCTAAGGCAGACTACCAAAAATTCGTTGATCGGTTAAAAGTAATATATATGTATATATATAGCGTCAACACACACATATGAAGTTATGGCTCATAATCAAATGTACAGCGGTGGCTATTTAAGCATTGAACTGTTACCAGATGCAGTATACAGTCGATACGAATGCAATTTGAGTGACCGATAAATATTCATGTCGCCCGTTATGTAAGGGTACAGTAGGAAATCCATGTATGTTATACTACGGCAGTATTCCATAAAAGGATGTCAGCAGGTTTTAAGGTTCGACATGGTCTCAATATTGGTATGTGGAATGTGTACGTATAAATAGGGTCTCCATGATAGTCGGTCAGTGTAGGTGAAGATACTGTTCGGTCTCCATACGATTATTTCAGTGAATATAAATGTACTTCAGGGCATCAATACTGGTTAGTGTAATGTTGGTAAATGAATATGTACGTAGGGTTTCCGCGAAAGTCGGTCAGTATAGGTGATGCTTCGGTAGGTTCTTCATACAAGGATGTCGACTGTAGGCAAAAGTCCGGTAGTGTCTCAATACAAGTACGTCATCGTGTATAATGGTATAACAGGGTCGCCATACAATAACGTCATCGTGTTTAAAGATAAAACAGAGACCCAATTCAATTACGTTATCGTGTTTAAAGATAAAACAGAGACCCAATACAATTACGTCATCGTGTTTAAAGGTAAAACAGAGACTCAATACAATTACGTCATCGTGTTTAAAGGTACGCCATACAATAACGTCACCGTGATTAAAGGTAAAACAGAGACTCAATACAATTACGTCATCGTGATAAAAGGTACAGCAGAGACTCAATATAATTATGTCATCGTGATTAAAGGTAGAACAGAGACTCAATACAATTACGCCATCGTGTTTAAAGGTAAAACAGAGACTCAATACAATTACATCATCGTGTTTAAAGGTACACCAGGGTCGCCATACATGAACGTCATCGTGATTAAAGGTAGAGCAGAGACTCAATACAGTTACGTCATCGTGTCTAACGGTACAACAGGGTTTCATACAACAGAGACTCAATACAATTACGTCATCGTGATAAAAGGTACAGCAGAGACTCAATACAGTTACGTCATCGTGTTTATAGGTAAAACAGAGACTCAATACAGTTACGTCATCGGGTTTAAAGGTACACCAGGGTCGCCATACATGAACGTCATCGTGATTAAAGGTAGAGCAGAGACTCAATACAGTTACGTCATCGTGTTTAAAGGTAAAACAGAGACTTAATACAATTACATCATCGTGTTTAAAGGTACACCTGGGTCGCCATACAATAACGTCATCGTGTTTATAGGTAAAACAGACATCAAATACAATAACGTCATCGTGATTAAAGGTAGATCAGAGACTCAATACAGTTACGTCATCGTGTTTAAAGGTAGAACAGGGTCTGCATACAATTACGTCATCGTGATTAAAGGTAAAAGAGGAAATCAATACAGTTACGTCATCGTGTTTAAAGGTACACCAGGGTCGCCATACATGAACGTCATCGTGATTAAAGGTAGAGCAGAGACTCAATACAATTACGTCATCGTGATTAAGGGTACAGCAGAGACTCAATATAATTATGTCATCATGATTAAAGGTAGAACAGAGACTCAATACAATTACGCCATCGTGTTTAAAGGTAAAACAGAGTCTCAATACAATTACATCATCGTGTTTAAAGAAACACCAGGGTCGCCATACAATAACGTCATCGTGTTTATAGGTAAAACAGACACCAAATACAATAACGTCATCGTGATTAAAGGTAGAGCAGAGACTCAATACAATTATGTCATCGTGATTAAAGGTAAAACAGAGACTCAATACAATTACGTCATCGTGATTAAAGGTAATACAGGAACTCAATACAATTACGTCATCGGGTTTAAAGGTAGAACAGAGACTCCATACAATTACGTCATCGTGTTTAAAGGTAAAACAGAGACTCAATACAGTTACGTCATCGGGTTTAAAGGTACACCAGGGTCGCCATACAATAACGTCATCGTGATAAAAGGTACAGCAGAGACTCAATACAGTTACGTCATCGTGTTCAAAGATAAAACAGAGACTCAATACAGTTACGTCATCGTGTTTAAAGGTACAACAGAGACTCCATACAATTACGTCATCGTGATTAAAGGTAAAACAGAGACTCAATACAATGACGTCATCGTGTTTAAAGGTAGAACAGGGTCTCCATACAATTACGTCATCGTGATTAAAGGTAAAACAGAGAATCAATACAATTACGTCATCGTGTTTAAAGGTAGAACAGAGTCACCATACAATTACGTCATCGTGTTTAAAGGTAAAACAGAGACTCAATACAATTACGTCATCGTGTTTAAAGGTAAAACAGAGACTCAATTCAGTTACGTCATCGTGTTTAAAGGTAGAACAGGGATTCAATACAATTACGTCATCGTTTTTAAAGGTAAAACAGAGACTCAATACAATGACGTCATCGTGTTTATAGGTAGAACAGGGTCTCCATACAATTACGTCATCGTGTTTAAAGGTAGAACAGTGTCTCCATACAATTACGTCATCGTGATGAAAGGTAGAACAGAGACTCCATACAATTACGTCATCGTGTTTAAAGTTAAAACAGAGACTCAATACAATTACGTCATCGTGTTTAAAGGTAGAACAGGGTCACCATACAATTACGTCATCGTGTTTAAAGGTAAAACAGAGACCCAATACAATAACGTCATCGTGTTTAAAGGTAGAACAGGGTCACCATACAATTACGTCATCGTGTTTAAAGGTAAAACAGGGACTCAATACAATCACGTCATCGTGTTTAAAGGTAAAACAGAGACTCAATACAGTTACGTCATCGTGTTTAAAGGTAGAACAGGGACTCAATACAATTACGTCATCGTTTTTAAAGGTAAAACAGAGACTCAATACAATGACGTCATCGTGTTTAAAGGTAGAACAGGGTCTCCATACAATTACGTCATCGTGATTAAAGGTAAAACAGAGAATCAATACAATTACGTCATCGTGTTTAAAGGTAGAACAGAGTCACCATACAATTACGTCATCGTGTTTAAAGGTAAAACAGAGACTCAATACAATTACGTCATCGTGTTTAAAGGTAAAACAGAGACTCAATTCAGTTACGTCATCGTGTTTAAAGGTAGAACAGGGATTCAATACAATTACGTCATCGTTTTTAAAGGTAAAACAGAGACTCAATACAATGACGTCATCGTGTTTATAGGTAGAACAGGGTCTCCATACAATTACGTCATCGTGTTTAAAGGTAGAACAGTGTCTCCATACAATTACGTCATCGTGATGAAAGGTAGAACAGAGACTCCATACAATTACGTCATCGTGTTTAAAGTTAAAACAGAGACTCAATACAATTACGTCATCGTGTTTAAAGGTAGAACAGGGTCACCATACAATTACGTCATCGTGTTTAAAGGTAAAACAGAGACCCAATACAATAACGTCATCGTGTTTAAAGGTAGAACAGGGTCACCATACAATTACGTCATCGTGTTTAAAGGTAAAACAGAGACTCAATACAATCACGTCATCGTGTTTAAAGGTAAAACAGAGACTCAATACAGTTACGTCATCGTGTTTAAAGGTAGAACAGGGACTCAATACAATTACGTCATCGTTTTTAAAGGTAAAACAGAGACTCAATACAATGACGTCATCGTGTTTAAAGGTAGAACAGGGTCTCCATACAATTACGTCATCGTGATGAAAGGTACAACAGGGACTCAATACAATTACGTCATCGTGTTTAAAGGTAAAACAGGGACTCCATACAAATACGTCATCGTGTTAAAAGGTAGAACAGGGACACCATACAATTACGTCATCGTGTTTAAAGGTAGAACAGAGACCCAATACAATAACGTCATCGTGTTTATAGTTACAACTGTCAGCGTGTTTAAAGGTACAACAAGGCCGGTTATCCATACAAGTACGTCCCGTGTAAGTCAGTGCATGACAGTGTGGCTATACAAGTCCATCAGTGTAGGTAATGATAAGGCAATGACTCCACAGTTCATAATTGTCTACTAACGTAGGTAAAGTTACAGTAGAGCCTTCATACCAATGTTACTTATTGCATGTGTGAATTGATGCAGGTACAGGTAGGTCAGTGAAGGTATTGCGCTGTGTATTCATACATGCCTGTTACTTCTAATAAAGGTGCATACAATCTGATCAGTAAACGGAAGGATAGGGCCTCCATACTGATTTCAGTGTGTGCAAAGGTACCACAGGATCTTCGTAAATCTGTAAATTTCAAGTGAGGTCCTCATAAAAATACCTTCAGTGTAGGTAATGGTAGGTACAGAGTTTTATACGAGTATGTCATGGGAAAGTAATGAAATCGTAAGAGTCCCAAAATCTGTCAAGTGTAAGCAATGGTACATGTGTGCGTTTGAGTCTCCATACAGATCTGACAGCGTAAGTGATGAAACGGTGGGGTTTCCATACAAATATTAGGGATGGTGCGATGGGGCCTCCGTACAAATCTGACACTTGAGGTAATGGTACGGTAGGGTCTCCTTACAAAAAGTCAGTGTACGCATATTGTATAAACAGGCACGATTGAACGTCATACAACAACGTTTGCACGTGGCCAGTGTTAGCGAGTACACATGTCTGGATCTATGTACTTTTTACCTGTGGTTTTCTATGTTAATTTAATCCGAAATCCATCTGCACATCATTTATAATAAAACAGTTGATACAATATAAATAATGAGTTTTCCAAACAGTTCTGTAACATCATACAACCTGGCAGAACCATTGTGTTTCTCTGTTCAGTGTAAACTGGAGTTTGATAGTATTTCGTCCAACTGTCCGTACCCCGCATTATTCCATGTTTGTCCGGTATCTAATGCGCAGTACCGGCTCTGTCTATTGTATAAATAAGACAACAAAGAGTCTGTGTATCAAACGTCACGGGTCCTAGAAGTTTGTTTGGAGAAACTAATCAGCGGTGGCCCTTATGTAAACTAAACTTGGAGCAGGTGCACAGGGAAGGCGCAGTTAACGTCAGTAAATAGGGTCATGCACGTGCTTGTTACTTTTTACTAGAAACATAAAGGTCCAATATATGGGTAATTTATATACTTTGGTAAGCAGACGACATGTATGGGTATACTTCTTCTCAATAGATTTCCGAGAAGGGAGGAAGCATAATTATCATAAATCGCATGTTTTTCTGACTCCCAACCAAACCGAGAGGAAAGAGATGAAAGGTCGTCAACCAGATAAATATAACGTCTTGTTGTCGCAGTTGTCCAACATTTTGTAACAAACGGTCGTAACTTAAAGATATCTGTACTATTTTTAAAAGTTGTAAATACGTTTTGGGACCTTTTCAAGCACGACAATATGTTTGAAAAAATATTGACAATGAAAACAGACAACAACAATTAAACCAACAACACTTTTCTGAGTGCAACATTTATATCCTGAACGAATTAAAGCCGATGTTATAATTACTTTATGTACGAAAAACTATGGTAGAAATTATAGTGTTTTGTCCCGAACGTTCTGTAATGATTGACGTATAAGACACGGCGTAGCTTATCTTTTCAGAAAACCTGTTTAGATATGCGTTCCTTGTCAAATATTGTGTCATTTAGTATTTTGGTATCAGGAGCGCTCTCCATAAAATATGAGGTGGGTAAGTATTAATGCAACAAAACAACATTAATTTTTATAACAGTGAACTTTTGTTCCACGGCAAAAATTTCCGTCCTTGGGTCCTCTTTACAACTTCTGTACTATTTATGATATTACACAGTAATGGAAAACCCATAATTCTCCAGAACTTTCATGTGCTCTTTCGCTCGAAAATCCATACGTGATAGTATTTGGCGTTTTGCGACATCACAGTTGCATGGTAACATCATAATTTGCAGCAAAATTTGTGCCGTTGGAGAAGTAATTTTAGTCGTTATTCATAACTTTGGAAAGAAAAAAAACACATTGTCTCTGAAGCTATTGTGAAAAACATCAATGTAAAAATACCCAATTAATTTCTATGAACGAAAATTAAAATGATTTGCATCCTTGTCAAGTGCACTTACATGGCAAAATGAATTGCAGTGTAATACAGACCAATGATGCCTTAACATCACTAAGAATGTGTCTCGATGTCTGTAATGTACACATGTATGCTGGAGGCGGTATGCTAATATATTTGCTTGTCTCCTTGCGATGACATGGGTCTGATGCCGACTTTAGACTGCTATGTTTTACTGAAGTTACATAACAACGGCACCAGGCACCGTAACCAAACCGGTCACTACAGACCACGAGTTAACACGCTGTAACGAATACTCCAGTAAATGCTGAAGTTTAACAATTACCGTTTCTAACGTCTTCGGTGTACATGTAGGTACCGGCATGGGATTAGAACACATCGCCTTCCCCACTTTTGCAAACGCTTAACACCAAGATCAAAAGTGAAGTGTTACCTAGCAAGGCTTTAGGAAGAACAAGCCATTCGTATTGATATGTCTCGCCGGTGCCCCGCTTTAACACGTCACATATCAGAGTAACTTAAACCCATAACTTAATGTTGATGGATATGGTGACAGAGTCGGTGGAACATGAAAGGTTGGCGGCATCCAGCATTTGATGCTACTACCCAAGATACATTTATGGTCCAAGTTTGGTTGGTGTACCACTTATACTTTCAGTAAAACTAACGTAAACGCAAACACTTAAAGAGCAACACCTTAGTCTCGCTTCCGCTACTTCGTGGGGGCGAGACAAAACCTAAATGCTGATGGAGATGCTGACAAAGTCAATGGACCATGCAATGTAGGCTGTATCAAACATTTTATGTATGGGTCAAGATGTACTACCTAAGATGCATCTATGGTCCAAATTTGGTTGGTATAGCACTTATACTTTCAGTGAAAATAACTCAAACGCAAAAACTTAATGTTGTCGCCGCCGCCGGAAAAGCAACACCTTATACTTCAGTCACATTTGCGCCGGCCGGCGTCCCGGTGTCCCGGACGCCGGGGACTTTATTCTGATGTCTGCGATTTGCCGTTAGTATGTTCACTTTAGATACGGGCACTGTACAACCCCACAAACAATTTGCCGGACATCTGAAGTATACCGTAGGGAGCCCGTAAGACTATCGCAAGGCCATCCTTGATATCCCCAGGTACATACAGGGGGTTCCTACATTACAGTATCTGTGTCCCGAGGTACATACAGGGGGTTCCTACATTACAGTATTTGTGTCCCCAGGTACATACAGGGGGTTCCTACATTACAGTATTTGTGTCCCCAGGTACATACAGGGGGTTCCTACATTACAGTATCTGTGTCCCCAGGTACATACAGGGGGTTCCTACATTACAGTATTTGCCTCTGGCACCATGCAGGATAGATTTAACAGCAGGTGTATTCTCTTCACCCTTGTATCATCAACTCAAACATAATTTTATAAAAATACTATTTGTCAATGCTGTGTTTATTTGGTAATATTTCTTTATTATATTACAGATGATGAAAGTATAATTATGGGAGTCTGTCACAGGTCTTATGCAGTACTGATTAAGAGTGTAATTTTACTGGATCTCTTGAAAGTCACACACAGTATATCATTGTTATGTGATATTGACAGATAATCCCACGTTTATCAAATATTATAATAAGTCGACTGTTGGCTGAAATTTTCATGACCAGGTCTCAGTAATGCAAAAATGCATTTATCAACTTACCTAGTGCATAAAAACATTTTTTTTAACTTGTGCAAACTAACCAAAAAAAGAAAGAAAGATAATGTTCACTACACCAAGAATTTATTGTAAAATACAGAACAATGACACAGCCCTGTACAATAATCCCATCAACCAAAATGACATCCATACAAACTTTCACCCGAACAGTTTCTAGTTTTCTCATACTTCCTTTACACTACCTGAAACACATACTTACTCAAACAGTTCAAAACTTGCTTTAACCTGGTCCAAAGAAATAACAAAATACTCGAGACCAGCATCAATCATATTTAAATATTTGGTTCGTAGTTCAATTATCTTCAAGTACGATTTGGACATAGTATCACCTTAGAACAACCATGTCTCTGGTGTCATTCCTACAGAAAGTTCAATAAAACACAGAGGAATATCCAGATACTTTAGGAATTACCATCACAACAACTACATATGGTAGCAAAAATGTCAAAATTAGCTGAAACCATGAATATCAGCACTGTATCATTGGTAGTAGGAATTAGGCATGCAAAAAAATGTTCTGACATTCTAATCTAATGTTCATTGAAAAAAAAATGTCAATCCATCTTTGAAAATTGTTTAGCTCAAGACCATCAATAGTCATTACAACTTTTTGGGCTGTTCATGATCAGATGAAAATATTTATTTTTTCACTGTGCATACAAATTTTTGAAGATACAAATTTTCGATTTTGAGTAGAGGGAGTTTGCAAACAACACAGGATTAAGAAGATTTGTATACTGTATGGGACCCTGAACTCAACAAAGAGAGTAAAGTTTATTTCTGTGTTTCTTTACAACTCAACATCCTACATTAGATATGCATTTAATATATACAAAGCAAGGTCCTAGGATCTTGATCATGCTAGAAATCAGACATACATTCCGATTCAATTGTTGTCATATTTTTCCTACCATTGTGTTTTTTTATGTTCATAAATTTGTCATATTTCACTGTCTTTGGTCCCTTTTCAGAGATGAATCCTATTATTAAAGATCCCTGTCCCACTGCACTGTGGTTTTCCATACACACAGTTACCTCCCCTTAACTTCTGTCTGGACATAACTGTAGCACAGTAGGCCAGGACACTTCCGTAGACCAGATAGCTCAATCGGTTAAGAGCTATAGTATAACAAAATGAAGTCCAGAGTTTGAATCCTGTTCCTTTTTTCCCGCTCAGAACACTGTTGTTGATTTTAGTGTATTTAGTTCATCTTTATCACTTCTCATAAAAGCATGGTATGCTTTTCTTTTCAGAAATAGCATATCAAAGGTATTTTATGCAGGAAAAACAACTTTCCAATGCTTTGTACCAGTTTTTGGCAGTGGTACGTGGATACTTAACATCTAAGATTGTTTTATGATCCCCGTGTTAGGAAATGGTACAACAACCTTATGCTGAACAAGTTTTAAATGCCATGTGCTTTTATCAAAAGTATTGTTTACTTGTTTCAAACACGTAAGATGAAGTATACAAATCAATGGATGAACTCTCTCATTCTTCTTACTCTCTGTTCTCATTCCGTCTCAATAAAGCACTTTTTCCCCAGAGAAATTTAATGTTTATGAAGCACCATTATCAGAATTATTCCTTGTGGCTTTCTGATAGCTTTGCTTTTAGAATTCTGACTTCAGGCTCAAACCTATCGTAATCGAATTTTCCATTTTCATCAAAGAAATCGCTGACACTTTTTGTGATGTCTAAGGAGCGTATAATTTGTGTGGTGCCAGGTTTAACAGATATCTGTAGGAAATACTTGTCATCATATCTGAAAATGAAATAAACATATGCATCAGTAACATATAACTAGAGGCCCAAAGGGCCTGTATCACTCACCTGAAAATGTGAGCAAAATTGAAGTTGAAATAGCAAGATATTGCTGTACATGTATTACATGGTCAGTCAAGGGTTATATTAATATGAAATTATTCCTACAGGAAAAGGAGGATTTTGAAGAATTTGCTATGTTTCCACAATTGTGCCCCGCCCTTCTGCCCAAGGGGATCAGACCCACCATTTATACAAACTATAGTACCCTTCACCAAAGGATGCTTTAGACCAAATATGGACAAAATCCTGTCATTTCTATAGAAGAAGAATAATTTTAAAGAATTTGCTAAATCATCCCTATTGGGCCCCACCCTCAGGCCCAAGGGGGGTCATATCCACCATTTATACAAAATTGATTTCCTTTCCCCATAGGATGCTACTCTTCAAATTTTGTCGAAAAACCTATTTGGAAGAAAAAGGATGTTAAAGCTAAATTCCTCTATATCCGTTATTCAGTCAGACTCTCTGCCCTGAGGGCTTCAGGCCAACCATTTATATAATCTTGGTTCCCTTTCACCAAAGGGTGCTTCATACCAAATTTGGACAAAATCCTGTTGTTGCTACAGAGGAAGGATTTTGAAGAATTTGTCTATTTACCCTTTTGGGCCCTGCCCTTCTGCCCAAAGGGGGGCCACACTCACTGTTTATACAAAATTGAGTCCCTTTTGCCCAAGGATGCTCCAGACTAAATTGGGATGAATTCCCTTCATCCCTATGGCAGAAGAAGGATTTTAAAGGTTTCACTTCTATTTCCCATAATCGGCCCCGCCCCTCTGTCCCAAGGGGGGCTTTTGTATACTCACTGTTTATACAAAATTGAGTCCCCTTGGCCCAAGGATGCTCCAGACTAAATCAGGATAAAATCCCTTAATCCCTACGGTAGAAGAAGGATTTTAAAGGTTTTACCTCTAATTCCATTATTTGGCCCGCCCTCTTCCCCAGGGGGCCACACCCACTGTTAATTATACAAAATTGAGTCACCTTGGACTAAGGATGCTCCAGACCAAATTTAATCAAAATCTACTTGGCTGTTCAAGACTAGTTACGCTTTAAAGGAAAAGTTGACGGACGGACTTACTTCACTATCAATAGCCACAATTTATGTAGGAAATACAATACATTTGTATATGACACAATGCAGTTCCCCCCCCCCCCCCCTCTTATACAGATATAAACTATAAATATATGTAAACAGTATGATCTTGTTAAACAATATAATTCGTTCCTTTCTTTATTTGATAACTTAAGCAGGTTAAGGAATATTGTTTTTGCAGGTGCTCTTTTAGAATGAAATCATACATTGAGCCTAAATTTGTATTTTTTAAACACAATTTTTTCCAATTTCACGTAAGGAAAAAAATTAATATATTTCCATGAAAAAGAAGAAGAATTTTTCAAATATTATCAGGGCCTAACTCTTCGATAGAAAACAAAAGTTTTTGGATATCATTAGGGAACTACATTTTGAAAAAGGAGACAAGTATTCTGATATTCACTGAGGACTTACTTTTTGAGAGAAGATGAGAGTTCCCAGACATCGTCGGGCTCCATTCCAGCCTCGTCCTTATCCAATGCCACAAGGAAGATACCCTTCTCTATATAGGTCGTGTAAACTGTCAGTACAGCCATCAACACAAAGTAGCTAGACAAGTTAAGGGTGTAAGTCAACAGTACTGTTCACACGAATCAGACCCAATCTTGTACAACAGTTTACTGGAGATCCATCTTTGTACTACCTAACAAACTTTACAATCATATTACATTTCTTGTTGTTAATTTATTACTATGAATTTCAATACTTTTTAAATACATTCAGTTTAGCCTTTTTTATAAGTGATTTATATTTTTGATTAAAATTCAACTACAGTCAACTAAGTAGGTCATACCTGCACTTGAGCAGTGTTTGAAGTTAAAGTTATACACAGAAGGACAACTTCCATGAGATCAATGGAGGTTTATTGGATTCATTGACTTCATATATCAAGTTGTCTATAAGTTATTTCTCATGGTGTTTAAGATCTGATGATAAATATAGTGGCCAGCAAAAATGTGTTCTGTTAAATGACAATTCTTTCTTAATTATCTTAATTCCATGTTGTCTAACATTAACTCACTCACCCCTACTAATTTTAACATGTTTTGCCCAGACTTTGATTTGGTAAGGTTCAAATGTGACTTTAGTGGTGAATAGGTTAAAATATAAGTACAGCTATCTTGGTCAATCAAAGTATTAGAGGTCTTTTAGAAATCTATTTTTCATAGGTATTTTGTCTTTTTTAAGACTGCTTGATGAGTAATGTTTTACTTGAATTCTAAATGTTAAATGATTAATTTGTTAATTTTTAAACAAAATAACTCATTTTTATAACCTGGAAACGTTTCAAGCTTTGCTTTCACCGGTTAAGTATTTCAAATCATAGATTCAAAACGTTGAAATGAAATTATTGGTGCAAAAATAGGAAACGATTCTTGGCCAAAGGGAGGTAACTGTAACATATATATATAAGTATTAGAATTCACACAAGGATACGACAAGACACAGAGGATGAGGACAGGTCGAGATTCTGGGAATGGTTTGATGTAGTCCCACAGCAGAGCAAAGAAGGAAAAGCCCACCGCGACAGAGCAGATCAGAAGTCGCAGATCAAACAGGGTGTGTGACTCCTTCAGCTTAAAGCCCTCTAGTATAACCTGTGAGAAAATCAAAGGATTAATATGTTTCATTTCTGGTAAATATTTATCATTTGTTTACAAAATTTCATTGTACGGCAGTCTGACAACTTCAAAAAAAAGATTAACCTCGTTTCATTTGCTGCTTCACTTACGGCCAGAATATTTTAGGTTATTCTCTGCTGGGAAGAAATAACTTTTCATCTTTTCATCAAAACGATTATTTCTGATATTTCACCAGTGAACATAATAATTACAATATATAACATGAGGAAATTGTTAAGGATAGGGAACAGGAGATAGTGGATGATTAGCCCTAGGTCTAGGATCCCTATAAACAAGGGGCTCTTGGGCCTTAAAAGCGCACCTAGTATTTTATTTTCAATTTAAAACCTTCCAAGTACCATACCAGATTGTCAAAGGAATACATTAGAAATATAACAAGCTGCAAGAAGGACTTTTTAATCTATATGTTTGGTTAAGTCCCCAAGAACGTTCTTTATTCCCAGTAATTATGTACATGTATAAGGTCATGGCGTGGAGATCTCAACTGTTTCCATTTTATGACCCAGGGAGGTAGCTACGTAGTCTCAAGGAGTGGGAGTGGTTCAATCCCCAGGTAGCTTAACAGTTTTCCGCTTTTCATACCCAGCAATTGTATATTTGGTTAAAGCGTTGGGATAAAACCCCTCGATTCATATCAGTAAAGGATTTTATCGATTAACCTTTATTTTCCCTTGAGGGTCTCTGCCAAAGGATACTCTAAACCAAATTTGATCAAAATCCCTCCATTTGTACAAGAAGGATTTTAAATATTTCGCCCTTAATTCCCATATTAGGTTCACTCTTGATCTCTGCCCCAAGGGTGGGGTGGGCACCCTCCATTTATACAAATTTGGTCATTTTTGGCTGCAGGTTCTCGAGAAAATCACTCCGTTCATATTAAAGGAGACAGATTTTAAAAACAATTTTCTTTGATTTCCCTTTTTGGACCCTGCCAATCTGCTCAAAGGTTTTTATAAAATTTAGTTCCCTTAATTTGCCTTCAGATGATCTATAACAAATTTGGCGATAACCCCTTTATTCATAAAGAAGAACATTTTTTTTAAACAGGATTTGTATCTCTATTCCACTATTGGGGGCCACACCCTCTATTTATACAAAATTGAATCCCCTATGCCAAAAGATACCCTAGAATGCCCTGTGGGCCAGGTGAGCTAAAAACCTCCCAATGGTTATAAATGCCATTATTAACCCCCAGATTTACCTTCTTTGCTCCATCATCTAAAGCATTCTTTAATGCTGCAGAGTCCCACTTATCAATCTTCACTGGTTTTTCATCAGATGACCACTGAAACAGACAATTACATTCACTCATTCATAAGCTTGAGTTTCACCGAGGCTGTGATTCCAAAAAAGCATCTCTATAACAAGTTAGTGTACATGAACATCAGGTAAAGGTAATTTCTTTAGGCATGATACAAAATTACATAAGAGCATATTAAGAAAGAATTTCAATAATTTATTATCACTCAAAATAAATTGAGAAAAGGTCAAATCGAAATTTCATGAAATCAGCAGCAACTTGCATATTTTACATACATATTATATGTGTCAACCTGTGTAGGTTTTTTTTTACCTTTTTTACAGTTGACTCATCCACCCCTGAAATTTCATAATGAACTATTCCAACCTTTAAATTGGAGGAGTTCAAATGTGTCTTCAGGGATGAATGAGTTAAACAGTACTTTTTTGTTATCCAGCCATTAATTATGATATTTCAACCAATTCCCACCACTACAAATAGGCTGTTTAGATCTGTGGCTTTAATTGGCGTTTATTCTGATGTATATAGTATTTGTAGTAATTTTTTGAGTTAAAACACTTACTTAAGATACATACCTAACAACAACGTTTTGAAAAATATTGTGATACAGCAATATTGTATTTCTGTATTGCGATACAATATAATATGCATATGTATTGCGATATACTCGTTTTCTGATATATTGTCACAGCCCTAAGAACTATTGCACCTTAATTAAACTGTTATTGAGAGTGTCTGATAAATAACTAATTAGTGTATCTGAGAACCTTATCTTATATTTACAACACAGACAGCTTTTTCTCTTAAAAAACCGACAACAACATTTTTGATATGATTAACAAACAAAAACCCAGGAGCCTATTCAGCTCACTTGGTCATACCAGTTTGTACTGGAAACACATGTCGAACATAATGTCGCCCTATCAGGCGTTAACTACTGGTCCTATGCCACCTGGCTAATATCTCCCTATGTGTGTATGTCTGCATGTGTGCTGGAGATGTAATGTGTTCTGTTTGTAGTGGGACCGTGCTTCCAAGGGCATCATTTATAGTGCCACCTCACTTGAATGCTATAGCAACATCCACCCTAGACCAATTTATATATAAGCTGGAGTGTTAACCACTCAACCAATCCGCCCATACATGCAAGAATGGCAAAATATTTCATCCCAATCATCCATCGATAGCAATCTATACAATATCATATGTATACACTTCCACATATTAGTTGGGCTAAGGCCGGGAGGGTGTGATATTTTTGTTGAGTGTTGATCTAACCTCTGAAATGTCAATTAACAATCCATGAATATATATGCACCTGCGAAAGGTCTCAAATACAAATTGTCTAAATTCCCAACACCAACATGATAATGACCCACCAACATGCACCACATGCATAAACTTTAACGTTAAACTGACCCCATCTTGTTCGGATGACTCCTTTGGCTGTGAAATGAAACAAACAAAAGTTGTTACAGTGGTGGTATGTACAAGAGAAAGGTCATCTGGTAAAGACATTGGAGGTCATTCATTGGTCACTGAAAAAGGAATATAATTCCATAAAGTTTGTAGTACACGGGACACCTGAAGTCACTGACCGAAACAACATGGCGCTGAATGGTACACACTGAGAAGTAGAACACATGAACCACAGCTTAATATGTAGTTCATGATAACCAGTACATAAAATACAACAGATTAGTGATGGACAGTCACAGCACACATACATGTAACTTATTCAAAATTAAAGCAATTAAATTATGATTTGTGAACTTATCTAAATATTCTACATCTGAATAATTTATATTTTGTTTCAAGGATTCCAATTTGAACAAACTTGCATGATCAGAAATCGCCAATACCAACTAAAATATGATAATTATTATGTTCCAAAACTATTCAGCATTAAAAATTATGGGAAATAAATAATGAATTTGATTACTAAAATATCAAGTAACTGTTGTGTTGGAGTGAGACAGTTTTAATTAGAAACGCTAATTTGACAGACACTTAATTATAGACAGACTTATTTTCATCCCGATGAGAAAGTTGTTTTGGGCAAATTGAGCAATACTACATATTTATGTATAGGATAATTAATTCTTAAAGACAACTTAAATCTTCTTGTGCTTTTGTTTCTTTTCAACTGTTTTTCACTCTTGGAACGTGATGAGCTAATTATAAGCTATACAACTTGGAGACAGGTTCCCAACAAATTCTGTTTAGATATATATATATAACAATAATTTTGTAATATTTTATTCAGGGCTTTGTTTCATATATGATAACTGTTAAAATGGCATTGTTAATCAAAACATGAAACAGCATTGACTGCAGGAAAACAACACATCTTTCAAAATATATTGACCCTTCAGCATATTTATAGCATTAATATTACTGCCATTATAGTTTGATACGGGAACACAGTATCAAATGTTAGTGATGGGAAACCGATGATTGAAAATAATTGAAAAATAGAACAAAATTAAAATTAGAAAGGTACTGATTAAATCATGCTGAAGTAACCTTTTTTGTGTCTTTTTTTCAAATACTACATAAACATATCAAGTGAGACTCGTTTTGGAAAATAGCGATAGGATTTGGCTGAAATAGATTCATAAATATGATTAAATCTAAGATAATCATCGGTATTTCTACCTGTCTGACCAACGTTTTGTTCAGGGATTTACTCTACTAGCGCATTGCACACCATTTCTTTGTAAACAAAATGACTAGCCGTGTGAAGTGTAAGCGAAAGAAAAGTGTTGAACCGTGTCAGCTACGAAGCGAAAAGTTGCCAAATGGTCAAAAGATAGCGCAATGGATACGTTAAGGAATCATTATTGCCAGTGGGAAGTATTCAAAGCAGAAAATAACTGCCCTAGCAGTTAGTACGGTGCATGTATTCTTCCGTATAGCGGCCGGTTAAGCTGAAATAAAACCGGCAGAAATGCTAGCGCTGTTTATGTTATGAATAAATATCTAAAACTATTAACCTCACTAGTATCATTGTGTGAGTTTGAACACAGATGAACTTAGTTTAATGTGTTAATGGACATGTAACGGAGAGAGTTTACTTTGTGTTTTTAATAATTATACAGTGGTTTATGCGAACGAAAGGGATAAGTGACTGGTTAGTTTGATTTTGCCATGAGGCCCTCCAAGGGATAACTGTTGTGATGGCCACAGCGTATCCTGTTCTCTGATCCTCTGTCGGTGCTCGGGGTCAAATGAGATACGTGCACTATTAGATTTACATAATTTATAATATTACCGGGATCAATAAAATGGTATGATTTAATTATATTGCTGAATTAAACGATTTTGTTTTTGTTTTGAGATGTAAGATTTAAATAAGTACATGTACTAATATAATACCCGGCCTACTCTGGCGCGACGACGCAATATATATAAAAAAATCGCTCTTCGTCAGAAAGCTACGTTATCGCAGCTAGATTAAAAATGTCAAAATGACGGACCAGGATGAATAACTGAAGAAGAACCTACTTCTAGTTAATAGGATCGCATGACTTTTTTTTTTTAAATCGTAATTTTTCAACATTTCATGTTTTCATATGATGTTGACTTAGAATGTATGATCATAAAACAACCTTTTCTCTATTAAGAATAAATTTTCGACTTCAGATAGAATCGGAATACGTATTGAAAACATGGGAAAACATATTTGATTATGTTGTAAAAATGGCGTGAGCTGCCGATAACTACGGCTTCTGTTTCGGACAAAAGGAACTGATTAAAGAAAAGTTGTCTCAGCATAAAAAGGTCCATTTACAAGTATGCTCTGTAAAGTATTGAAAAAATGTAATTATCAAGTATCTCAACACGTTCTTATTGACACATATTCTACATGTACATGTAGTGGTTTTGCCATACAGTTTATTGTGTGTGATGGTTAATATGACTTCCTAAATGTTAGCGTATGGAGACAGTGAAAGTGGTAAAGAGAGTATACATAGATTTATATGCATGGTCTAGAAAAAAAATGGCCAAAGACATTGAGTTGTATATATAATGTAATAAATAAATTCACAAACGTTTCCTTTTTTATTCGCGTGTAGTTTGTCATTGCATATATGCACTTTATGTAAACATTTGAAAAGGGGTATTCGTCTCGTGAATATTCCTTTTTACAGAAAGGTTTGTCCCATTGTTGAGGGAAGGTGTTTAGCCCCGTACCACCTGTACCGGTCACATTCCGGTACTAAATTCAATATATATTTAAATATATCTACTTTATGTTTATGCCTATTATCATTGTTGACATTTAATTGTAAATGTATGACGGGAGAAGGCTGTGATAAATTGTAAAAATTTGTGCCCCATCCCTTGTTTAATTTTATTGGCAACAAATTTATGTTTAAAGCTAAATAAATTTAAATTCTGAATATTGGCAAGTGTGCAATTAACTTCTAATGATGAATAATTACTGTTCAATAAGTTTGAATACGGACTTAGAAATCATATAACTTGGTTTCATAGTGCGGTAAGAAGTTGCAGTTGCCTGACGGCCCCTCTCTGGGGGCCTCTTTGGAAACCGTTTCATCTCGCTCGCACCACTTGTGTTTACTGCCTAGTCAGGTGACGTTATCGGCGCTATTTTTAGCAGGGCTTTCCCGAACAATTCAAGTGGTCAAACTGGACATTTGGAACGGACTATGAATATGGGGATAGCGAGGTAACATAAGTGGAAGTGCATACAATACATACATTCATTAGAAAAAAAAGCCTTTTCACGTGATGTCCCTTTAAAGTTAGCCTATAATTATAAAACTGATTTCCATCACATATGTATATGAGAATATGAAAATGGTACAGATACTGACTGTAATACTTACATTTTCACATGTACAATGCTCATATAATCAAGGGTTTAGTTCCAAAAATACACACTTAAAATCTAAGGCCACTGCAGATATTAGTATTATTAGAGACCATGGCCATGAACAAGTCACACCTTACTGTGGACTATAAATACCTGTAAAAGTCTTCCAAACAAGTAAATAAATAGATGGTCTTTTAAAAAAGACCCCTGAAATAACAACAGAATCCTGATTGTGATAATCTCAAAAATAACAAATTAACAAAAGTTCAAATTGTATTCATGAATGCAGATATAGATGATCTATTATTTTATTATATTTTTCTTATGGTATTTACTGTATATATAATACATACAAATGACTGATATTTTCTGTGAAACAGTTTCAGGTCTCAACTATTGGAGAGATTTAGGTAGATGAATACATGTGGTCATGATGATCATATTCGTAAAGACATTTCCTTCCAACTCATCACCATACATTCTATTGATATTTATATTAATAAATATTATTTTGAGAACAGCATTATCCAGAAATAGGTGAGTCCAAATAAGCAGAAAGTTAAAAAAATAATTGAAATTTAATGTTGATCAGGAACCTTCATATACCACATATTTGTCCTATAAAACTGACCATAACTGCAGGCTACGAAATTCTGATCAGTTACCTGTTTATATATAATTATGGTCAGTTATTTTGATCTTCTGCACTTTAAAACACTGGGATTTGTTGCCAAAATCTGACAACAGTGTTGCAAAAGTTTCACTCATTTGTTGGCAAAAATATTTTCACATAAATGTTGATTGATTCATTTCTCACTGACTATATATCTACATGCCTGTCCAAACTCAACACATTACAGAAGCTACATCATACATGTAGTGCTATCTAATGCTCACATTTTCAGCCCGCTTGCCTTCATGATTACGATGTGGAAGCAAATCAAAATTACTTCCGGTTTATTTGATCAAAAGTAAACAATAAACATGTATGTGCAGTGATTTGTTTAGCAGACACAAATAAAGATTTAGGTCAATCTGATTGAAAAAACAGATCTTTGATTCCACTCTGATACTCTACATTCCAGTCGAAGGAACGTAGAGTATCGGAGTGGAATCAAGGATCTGGTTTTAATCCGATTGATCATATATTTATATATGATAATGTATTAGGACGAGGAACTGTGATAAAGATAGTGCCGTTCCTGGGGGTTGAACCCTCAACCCTTGGCTCTCCAGCCCGATGCTCTACTGCTGAGTTAAAGGGAAATTCCCTTTGGCCAACGCTTGTAAGGCAACTTATCACTGCGCATCTTTTACACTGACCCCCCCTTTTCAAACACCAACCCAGGTTTTTTGATTCCCCGCAAAGGGTTCTCCTACCTTGAACGGGGAGAGTCAACAACATCAGTTTGTAGTAGGACAAGGAATATTGATAAAGATAGTGCTGTCGCTGGGGCTCGAACCAGCAACCCTTGGCTTTCCAGCCAGATGCTCTACCGCTGATCTAAAGGGAAATTACCTACAGCTGACGCTTGAAAGGCAACCTAATCAATGCACATCTTAAACTGTGCATATTTGGTATGAATAAAACAACTCATATATAATTCCAACACTATTAGTTATAAAGACGATAACTATAAAAACAAATGGATCACAACAAAAAGGTTGACTGGTACACATATTTTTGTTGTCAACAAGTCGAATTGAGAATTTTGGCAGCAAATGTTGAGCCAAAATCGGACATATGTTTGTTCTGTTTCGACTTACTTGCAGCAAAGGAAAAGTATTGTGTCAAATGTCAGCATCCAATTACAAATACTAAATAGTTTTAACGATATGACAATTCAAACAAATTTGGAACTATTTCTTTTTAGTCAAATCTTGATTGCGCCTTTTGACTCACATTACTGAGATTTCAGCAGTGCTGTCACATATGGGTGGGTTGTCTTGGCTATTTCTAAATATATCATAACCAATTTTCAAATTGTTCAGAGAAAGATAGATTGCAAAAGATGACATTAAGTTATAAATGAGCCGCTCAACATTGTACAATGTCACTGTGTAACATACCTGTCCCATTTTTGCTACCGGTGATGTCTTTGCCTCGAAAGCTTAGAACCGGAAGTACACGTTATAGTAATCTCTACACTAAATTATTCATGTTATAAATCTGCTGTTTTTTCACCGTATTTATTATTATTGAGAAAGGATTTATTTAAAAAATAATTTATGAATCACAATTGTCACAATTGAGAACACACAATCTTGTATTTCATTTTTAATTGCACCGTTGTAGAGAGTACCGGAAGTGTTCCTTACAATATCCGGGCACTGGAATTCTTGCTGAAGTCGAAATAGGTAAAGATAAACAGGTTGATTACATAGGTGAGATAAAGTTTTAGACTGCCGTTAATTAACAGCAAAGATTCAAAAGACGGAAAATGGAACTCATATCGTTTTGCTTCGCCACAATTTAGTTTTTGTTATTTTAACGGCGAAATTAACATGCTTGACAACAGAAGAGCGTCACCAGTAACCAAAACTGTCAAAAACTGAAACAGCGAAAGTTTTCTACCGTATCATAAAATTGATTGTATTGTGTCATGTTTACTGAAATATACCACTCTTTATCACTGAACATGTCCATTATCTCTCACCAAGAATGTACTAAATAGACGTTACAATCACTATCTTCAGTTCACATATAAATACTACATTGCAGGGTGTCGGGTCGTTTCGCCCTAAATCCTGTTCGTCCGGGTCGTTTCGCGCTTGGTTGTTTCGCTTTTTATTTGTTTTTACAGTAGGCTATACCCCCAGTCCTTACATGGTCAACAAGATCTGTAAATACATGTAATGCGACAGTACCCAAAATGGATCACCAAACTATCATACTCTTCATTCATTGAAAATTCAGAGAATGAATTATATTATTTTATTGTTGCAATAGAAGAAGAATATCGAAATATTTAAAGAACCCTCTGACGTCACCAATTAGTGTTTCCGTTCTTTTTGCAATGTCAGTATCCAAAACAGATAAGGGACAGCTTGAATTTTGCTATATTTTTCACTTTAAATGAACATTTCTCTCGGCGATTAATTACATATGTGCTCTCTCACCCTCCGCAATATTACCTTAATTGGAATCTAGCAGTGTATGACATACAGATTTTAAACAAAACAAAATTCATGGTTCTCTCGTGCGCCATTTAAAAAAAACTAGATTTTGAGTTGGAAATACGTCTTCTGATGCTATTTGAACTTAAAAATATATAATTTAAGCAAATTTTTTATTGTAATAACATAACTGTTGACACAATTATTGATTATTAATTATTTTTGTAAAGAGTAATCTGATTTGGGTACTGATCTTATTTGGGTCCTGCAGCCTCCTTAGCTTAAACATGAAATTCTTCCGACAGCACAGTAGTCTAATGGTAGGATGTGTATGCCGAGCTTGTGACCGAAGGGTTGCAGGTTCAAGTCATGGCACGGCATTATATGTATGTTGTATCTTTAAGCAAGATACTTTACTCCGCTTGTTCCAGTCTACTCAGCTGTAATAAGTATGTGGTTGGGCAGTACTAGAATATTGTTGAATGCTAGCTGTGTATGCCAAAATGGCAGCACCCGCTGTATGCTCTCCAGGGAGTTCAGAAAGATATTGGCTGGTTGCAAAGGCCCTATAACCACGGATAATAAATTGTGAGTCGCTTTGAGACCTACGAGCTAGGTTGTGATAGAGCGGTAACTTAATAATTATAAAAAAAAGATATTTAAAACAACCTTGTGCGAATTTGATTTACATGTAAGGACTGAAACGACCTATGGTGCGAATAGAACTTCGGGTAAAAGATCCCTGTAGAGGCTGGCCTAATTGGCTTCTACTTTACAATAACAAGTCTTCATCATTGACGTTTCTATGTCATACACTGGTTTAATAAAAGTGATTGAGAACAACTTATTTCATTGGTAAAACCACAATTTTGTTACAGCAAAGTTTTGTGTGTGTTTACTGAAATGGGTGATAAAAAAATCCTCCACGTTTTTTGCTGAGACGATAGAATCAGGTAGAGAATTCCGTTTGATAACGGTGCATATACAGAAAAAAATATTCATAGGAATTATCATATTTATTGTCGGTAATTTTCTGTAGGAGAAGATGTTTTGGTTTACCAAAGATATTGGATGGGACAGCAACTAGTTGATGACCTTTTTTGTAGAAATGAACTCATCTGAAATATATGAATATGAAGAGTTTGCCAATGTCTTTTTCCCTGTCTAGTTGTTCCATTTTTCCATTCCTGTTAATTTGGCGCCCAACCAAATGAACCCACAGAAGATAGTGTTGGGTCTGGTGTCCCTTCTGGGTTGAAGACTTGTTAAAGTAGGGTGAAATATATATATATATAAATCAAAACTGGTCTGGGTCTCACTGGTGACCAGGCCTAGGTACCGGTAATTGCATCTTCTAAATTGGTTTGGATGTCTTCTAGAGTTTTGCGGATACAAGTTCACATCCAAGTCTAGCCATTGCGTTTTTTCTTTTCCTGTTACAGACAATTTTGGTCAGTCTGTTTGAAAGATGAGTTACTTATTATAAAAGTGAAGGGGAAAAGTATGCATTAAGTATGTTTACATGAGTCTGTTGATTATATGGCTTGGAAAGTATTGAAATTTTAATTTGTGTTATAGATAATTAAATAATAGAAAGTGGGTACTATTATATAATTATAATATGTTGCTATATAATCATGCACAGAAACAGCAGTTTGGCAAACCAGCTGTTCCATGGTATATTAAGATTATGTTATTTAAGATGAGTCATTATGGTATTTATTAAATGCAGTATTGAGAAATACTTAGATGGTAAACAAACAGCAGCCTTGGATACCTGGTAATTGATTGTTGTTAAATTACATTTTGATTCTTACTTGTATTTTTTTCTGGTCATTATTTCAGGGGTTTTTCCTCATTGGCAAAATGAGTGAACAGCTGAAGTTCGTTGTCCAAGAATTAGCAAAGGAGCCATTCAACAAGAAGTATAATTTGATATCTTTTGATTCCTTGGAACAAATTCAACTTTTACAAGTTCTCAATGATGTTTTGGCAGTCGTTGATCCAAAGGTTTGTATTTCCACCTCACTATTGAATTACATACCCCCAGTAGTTGAATGGGTAAGACAAAGAAGATGTTTGGCTGGCTCCAGAGAGAAACAGTAGCCTAATTTACGACAGGGAATATTTGATTAGGACTGTGTGATCATTTACTAAAATAATATATTGATTCCTATACTTTGATGATATAGTGTATTCTGTAAATAGTACCGTATATAAATGTTGGTGAATGGTCACATTTGTATTTTCTTCTGTATGTTCATCACAGCAAACATCTGCACCAATCAGTAACATTTGTAAATCTATAACACCAGTTGACATTTTAGCGTTTCGTAGCTAGGTATAAAAATGAGGACACAAATAATCACTTGTTTAGATAATTTGTATCAAGCATGTTTAGTAACATCTGCAATTTCTTTTCCCCCTCTAAATCATAGCTATTGTATTACACAAAATTTGGTCAATTTAAAGCATTATTTTCAAGGCAAAGGAAATGTATTAATTCCCAAAATATATTCAATGAATTTCATTTTGTGATAATTGAAAAGTTGAAAGTTTGACGAATATAGGTACATGTAGACAAGCAAGTATTGTCAGGACATATTTTATTTTGATTACATGTTAAATGTATTGAATTTAATTAATTTTCTTTCAGGAAATGGATTTGGTAACATTATTCCATTCATTTATTATATAATTAAAGTTGATATTATCTGTATTCCAGATGATGTTATTTTTATTTGATTATTGAAATTTTGATGTTCTGTACTAACTTTGAATGATTCCTTTTAAAAATAGAAAAATTTCACAGCTGTTGATTATAACCTTAAGTATGTTGCTCAAACAGATTAAAGTCTACACAATGATTGATTTCTGTAAAAACACAATCTGAGATGGAAATTGTTAATTTATATGTATGTATTCATAGAATTTAGAAAAGTTTGTCCAAAACATTAAGACTTAATATCTCCCGGATTGAGTTGTTTTCTCTTCTTTTCATTTGGTTGGTAATTTGAACATCTACATGGTATGCATGCAACATATAAATCTTAATATCTTTTTATTGTTGTTAAAGTTTACTCTTTTTTTCTGCAGTGAAACCAGTTTGGTTTCATTTTGGTACTTCTGTTGAGTTTAATCACCTCAGTGTCTTGTGTACGCAATGTGAACTATTTAGCAATACTGGTACTCGGTAGACATTAGACTATCTTCTGGTTATGAATATATATATGATGTTATTAAAATTATGTCCTATATTAATTTAACTAAACCTGTAGTGGATGGTTGGAAATACATTGTACGTTATACCAATTAGATAGCCATGAACATTTTGGATTGTTTCTTAGGCCTGCAGCCTACTTCTGTTAAAGGTGAAGATCTGATTTCCTTTTTGCAAATTTGTGTCTTTGATGATTATCAAGTACCTGGAATTTAATTATTTATTATTTACCTCACAGCATAGTTATGACAATACACCAGAAAGTGAAAAATTAGGGGTAGCTGATTATTAGAAAATGTGTTGTGATGCAAACACAGGTGGGGGGCTGGCAATAATTTCTAAATTCACTTAAAAGAAAAAGAAGAATTTTTTTTCTATGTATAGCTAAAGTTATGCACATTTACATTTATAGAATATTTCTTCCTTTTTACAAGGTAAATTATGAAGGGTGTAAGCTAGTGAGTGTCTGTAATGGGGAGTTAATTATAATTAAAATGTTAATTTAACTTTCACCTTCTTATGAATATTTTTAGCAACAAATTGACATTCGAGAAGAGAGCTCAGACCAAACAGCCATCCGTATATTCCACATGCTGAGAGTGCTGAAGTACAAACCTCCAACAGAGTAAGTATCAGTAAAACATGTCTCGGATTTTCTACAAAATGCCTGTTTCTTCAGAACTCAATTTGAACCGTTGAAACTGAAATTTTTTCTGACCCATAACTCCGAAAGGCACAATCATTTATGTGAATACAGTATTTATCCGTAAATAAACCTACGTCTTGCAATAAGCATACTCTCATCGACTCCATTTTAGAAGAAATGCCAACAAATGCTGCTTCATTACTCGATAATAATCCTACACCCTACTTAGGGTCAGTATTTAATAACCTACTATTAGCCGTAAACTTTGGCAAGAGGGCTTATTTACACCAAATTTTAAAACCTTATATTTCTAACAAAAAAGATATTTAGAATATTTGAACTCTGAAAAAAAACAATTAAAAAGAAAACTTTCAAATCAAGTTATGAAAACCTTTATTTACATTGGCATAAGTATCAGATTCTAGGAAAGAGGCTAGACAGAAAATAGCTGCCAATGCAATAGCCCAAAGGATAGATTACAAAACAGGAATTGCTTATAGATTTCAGCAAGAAATTCATTAATCACATTTCAAACTTGCAGTTAGATCTTGTTAAAAACCTGATATATTTTAAACTTTGTGAATTTGCATTTTAGTTTTAAAACTTTTAAGTCAAACTCTTTGTTTTTGTTTGAATAGTTGTATGTATCACTAATACTGACTGTTTATGTTAATGTTACAGAGATGTGTAAGTACCAAAATACCATTCCATGGTGTTAAAAATGCTTTACCTGTTGCACTGTAGATAGTTGTGTGGTGGGTGCTAATTATAACAGCTGTGTTATATTGTGTTAATATCACTGTTGTTGATATTGAGCTTGACCAGGACACTTACCTAACCGTAGTACATGTAGATCAATATGTATCAGTGGTTGTCTATAGCTAACACCTTATTGATGGCTTGTAACTGAGTTTAATGTCATTGTTGTGCTTGGCCAGGACACTTACCTAACAGGAGTACATGTAGATCAATTTGTATCAGGGGTTGTCTATAGCTAACACCTTATTGATGGCTTGCACTGTAGATAGTTGTGTGGTGGGTGCTAATTATAACAGCTGTGTTATATTGTGTTAATATCGCTGTTGTTGATATTGAGCTTGACCAGGACCCTTACCTAACAGTAGTACATGTAGATCACTTTGTATCAGTGGTTGTCTAACACATTATTGATGGCTTGTAACTGAGTTTAATGTCATTGTTGTGCTTGACCAGGACATTTACCTAACAGTAGTACATGTAGATCAATATGTATCAGTGGTTGTCTATAGCTAACACCTTACTGATGGCTTGTAACTGTGTTTAATTTCATTGTTGTGCTTGACCAGCACACTCACCTAAGAGTAGTACGTGTAGATCAATTTGTATCAGTGGTTGTTTATAGCTAACACCTTATTGATGGCTTGCACTGTAGATAGTTGTGTGGTGGGTGCTAATTATAATAGCTGTGTTATATTGTGTTAATATCACAGTTGTTGATATTGAGCTTGACCAGGACACTCACCTACCAGTAGTACATGTAGATCAATTTGTATCAGGGGTTGTCTATAGCTAACACCTTATTGATGGCTTGCACTGTAGATAGTTGTGTGGTGGGTGCTAATTATAATAGCTGTGTTATATTGTGTTAATATCGCTGTTGTTGATATTGAGCTTGACCAGGAAACTTACCTAACAGAAGTACACGTAGATCAATTTGTATCAGTGGTCGTCTAACACATTATTGATGGCTTGTAACTGTGTTTAATTTCATTGTGGTGCTTGACCAGGACACTTACCTACCAGCTGCCGTAATACATGTAGATCAATTTGTATCAGTGGTTGGCTAACACATTATTGATGGCTTGTAACTGGGTTTAATGTCATTGTTGTGCTTAACCAGGACACTTACCTAACGGTAGTACATGTAGATCAATATGTATCAGTGGTTGTCTATAGCTAACACCTTATTGATGGCTTGTAACTGAGTTTAATGTCATTGTTGTGCTTGGCCAGGACACTTACCTAACAGAAGTACATGTAGATCAATTTGTATCAGTGGTTGTCTAACACATTATTGATGGCTTGTAACTGTGTTTAATGTCATTGTTGTGCTTGACCAGGACACTTACCTAACAGAAGTAGATAGTTGTGTGTGATAGTCCTATACAATAGCCCTGTAACGCTATACTTAAATCAAGCTTGACATTTAGGGTGTTGAGTCTTAGTGCTGTATAATTCAATGTCGAAAGTTACATACACGCCAGAAGTGAAAGTTAGTCTTGTCTTGCAAGACTGTGATAGTCAAGGGTCAATATGAAAGGGGAAGATCTGAAACTAGTATTTTCATAGAATGTATATGTATAATGCTGTGTACATAAGAAAAGAGAGAAAAAAAACCCAGAAAATGATTTTTTCCCCGTGTACCAGATTCCAGGTATGCAATTGAGGTTTTGTTTGGCCGTATATGTATAGGAGTGATGTTTGAAGATTTCATACAGGAACAAATTATATAGCTTTTAAAGAAGTCATAAATTAAGTATTTTTCAGTACATTTTATATGTATATGATTCAAAACTGCCTGTGTGGCGTGACTGTAAATTTCTGCATGCCTTGTCTTTAGTGTCGAACATATTGTTTACTGCTTACAAACTAACAGCACTAGCCTTAATCAGTGTACTAGTATTGTGACGTTACTTTGAAGAGTTTGGCTATTTCTCTAATTAAGACACAATGATATGGAAGAGAGAATGGCTTTGCGGTAAGTATGCAATGTTTTGTTTAGGATTCAACGAGGGAAAGTTTTGAGAGATTATGTTACATTTTGTTACAGTTTTGTTTTGTTTGAACATTCCTACAGTGGAAGTTTGATAACAGGAGATGTCAGAACAAATTTGGAAGTAGTAATCATGCATTAAGAAAATAAACATTGTTCAAAGTTAAAGGTATCTAAATATGTATACAATGAATATTTAATTTTGCACTTTAAATATTGCGATATTATGATAATGCTAATTGAAGTTTTTATTGCATATATATTGTGATTATGCCAACTCATCAATATGCTAATCTGTTAAAATTTCATATGATACACAAAAATTGTAGTCTGCTAAATAAGTCCTTTTTTATTTATATGGTATTGATTTCAAAGTTCCACTGCAAACTGTCTTTATGTAAATTGCCTGTGGCGATTCTTTTTTATTTAATTTTTGAGTTTTCTTACCATAATTGACAAGAAGAAACAGGCTGCTCTGAAGCGCCACCAATAAGTTTACTCATCAATATGCTAATCTGTTAAAATTTCATATGATACACAAAAATTGTAGTCTGCTAAATAAGTCCTTTTTTATTTATATGGTATTGATTTCAAAGTTCCACTGCAAACTGTCTTTATGTAAATTGCCTGTGGCGATTCTTTTTTATTTAATTTTTGAGTTTTCTTACCATAATTGACAAGAAGAAACAGGCTGCTCTGAAGCGCCACCAATAAGTTTACTGTACAATAGTATTTACCCGGTAATAAGCTCTGAAGCGCCACCAATAAGCTGACTGTACAAAAGTATTTACCCGGTAATAAGCTCTGAAGCGCCACCAATAAGCTGACTGTACAAAAATATTAACCCGGTAATAAGCTCTGAAGCGCCACCAATAAGCTGACTGTACAAAAATATTTACCCGGTAATAAGCTCTGAATCGCCACCAATAAGCTGACTGTGAATTCGAACAAATTACAACATGCATGGCCTTGGGGCCCTCCTAAATGTACATGACACATATATACATGCCTCACGAATGTACACTCGAGGTCACTTAGTGCTGTCTACTGCTTTTACATTTCTTACTTCCATTCAATTAAGTAATGTGAAGAGAAACACTGAATACATTTTAACAAATCAATTGCACTTTTCTTGCAGCACTTTAGTGTTAAATATTATATGAATAATGATAATGGTATATGTCATCCTGTAAATTTAGTTAATATTTTTAAAAAATGTTTATGTTGCCAGGTAGTAATTGTACTTCAATTAACTTTAATTTGTGAAAGAGGAGGATTATACCAGATGTAAAGTGTTAAGCCGTATTTAATACTTAAACATTGACGACTAGATAGGTTTGATAGATGTTGCAATTTGTAATTTGATTTATAGGGAAAAAACCTCGGAAAATCAGTTGATTTATATATTAGGAATCTAGACTACTTAAACTAAGATTATTGTTTGAAGTTGTTCTAACCCCTTAAAATTGTTTTAAAATCATAGGTCTGCATTTCGTTCTGGAATAGTTCAGGGAGACAAGTTTGTGATTTATCCGATTCTGGAATGGCTGTTCCGAAGAATTCCAGAGCTGAAAAAGAGGGCATATCTGGCCCACTTTCTTTTCAAAATTGATGTTCCAGCCGAAATCATGCAGGAGGATCAGATACCCGAACTGTATTCCCAGGTAAAACCCGAACTGTATTCCCAGGTAAAACCCGAACTGTATTCCCAGGTAAAACCTGAACTGTATTCTCGGGTAAAACCCGAACTGTATTCCCAGGTAAAACCCGAACTGTATTCCCAGGAAAAACCTGAACTGTATTCCCAGGTAAAACCCGAACTGTATTTCCAGGTAAAACGGGGCTCAGCGCGGAGGATATACAAACTTACAAGTTTACAAGCGTTTCTACATTTTTTAATGAATTTTCCTGATGTCAATTAGATATATACTATTGAAAAGGAAATTTGCAGTATAAAGATCATTCATTTATTTCTCTCTCAATATTTTCAGCACTTTCTTTTGCAGTTTATAAGAGATGATGGGTTATTCATTGAAAATCAATACCAAACTCTGAGACTACAAAATTGTTTCTGCAACCAAAATGCAGTTGTCATGTCTTGAAAACTGCTTACTGGAAAATTTTGAAAAATGGAAGCGAGAGAAATATGGAGACCATTATTTATTTATGACACAATTTTGATTTATAGGACAAAATAGACAGAGGAGAATTCAACGATAAATATAGAAATGTATGAATCATAGAGCAGAAAAAATCACTCTTAACCTTTAAGATGGCAGAAGACTGTAGTGTAATATGGTATTTTGATTCATTGTTGATGGACTATTTTATATATAAGTATTAAAAATGCAGGTCTGATATCAATTGTCTGATGCATTTACGAAACTGTCTACAAGTTAGGGAACTGTCGAAATAATTGGATTAAACTTGGTCTCTTTAAATTTCCTTGACCTGATGTTTTCTCCAAAAGGAAAATTGTGTAGAATGAGGATCTGTTATATATAAAACAATGGTAAAATTAGTGAAAATTATATTATGATGTAGGAACATGTTCATGTGCTATTTTTTATTAAAATAATGATGTACTTTTTTGTATAATGTTAATTATTTTTTATTAACTTGTTTGGTATTTAGTATGAAGAGTTGATGGAACAATTCAAAGATCTGCACAAACAGTCTGACAATCTCAAGAATTCTGGCTACAACACGGCGGAAATCAGAAAAGATATTTCTAACATGGAGGATGAAAAAGAACAGCTGAACAAGAGGATAGAACGTCTCAAGAGAAAGGTCTGTTGTTAGGATTTCAAATAATACAAATCTGCATAGTTTAAAAAATACAAATTCTAAAACGTATTTTCATATAACCTCTGTGTTTTGTAGTTAATATGACCTTGCACTGTAATATATAGATCAAATGAATGTGATATTTCATCTATGTGGTACATTTTTAATACATATATATACATATGATCTGAAAAAAAGGTTGTTTGATATATTTTCAATTGTGATTTAAGACTGATTTTAGCAAGCTGAATTAAAAATCTTTTAATAGAATTTTTTTCATGAATTCAAAAGTAAGACATAATGTATTTTGCACATACTTTAAAATATCTGGTTTGCATCTAATTTGTTTTTATCTGTAAAATACTACATAGATAAATATCTGAAACATACATTTTTTCATTGAAAATCCTGAAAAGGATGTAAACATTATTGAAATTTAAATTACATTAATACATTATGTTTGTGTTTGCAGGTTGAGTCTCATCCTAACTCTCAAACCATGATGAATGTGGCTAGAAATCTCCGCATGGAGAGAGACAGAGAAAAGAAACTAGCAGAGCAACGCCAAGAACAGTCTACACTGATACAGCATGAGGAGCAAAAGATACGGCGGTTACAACAGCAGCTTCATGACACCCGTCAGGCAGGCGTGGGGGCCACCCCTCAGAGCCTACTACAGAGACTAGAGGAGGAGACCAGGACCAATAAGTACATCGTCACAGAGAGGCTTCCCAAGGACCTACTGGCGCGCAAGAAAACACTTCAGGACTTGCAGAAAGTGGTGGCAGAACCGGCGATGGGACAGTCAGACCTAGATCGACTGTTAGGACAGGTGTGTAGTTAACATCTCGAGGCCAATTATGAGATGATACATTCCAAACATGGTAAACATAAGTGTTGAACTGCTTTCATTAGGCATTCATATGTGATTATAAATACCAAATGGAGAAAGACAAATCTAACAAGAAGCCCTAGCAGGCTTCATTCAATGTGCCTTTGTCCAGGTGCCATCCATAGTGCCCATGAAAACCCTTCGGTGCTTACATACACTTATAATGACTATGTTCCAATTACGGATGTTGAACTTGCAAAAAAAGCAAAACACCAAGAAAAATGTTGTCATTCTCAAAATAGTTCAATTCATAGTTATTCATATGATGAAATAGTTTTGTCATGATTGTCAACTTGAATATTAAGAGTCAGTGTAATTAATTAGGGAAAAGCAAGAATCAAGTTGTTTTAAAAATGCATATACTATCTTCAAAATGATTGATTCAGTGTTTGCTTACAGCAATTTGCAGATTGATTAGTAATGAGTTCAAAATTCTAATCTCTACCCACAATAACTCAAATTTCATTTACCAACCTATTCCAGAAAAGTACCATAATGAGCAATTCTTTTTTCAGAAAAGAGAAAAATTGAGAAAAAATCCCATGACTGATGTGAATTGAAATTTTATCTGGCAATGAGCTTTTTAATGTTAATGTCCGTTTTTCTTGTCCTTGTAGATTCAAGAGTTGAACTCTGAAATAAATCAGCTGATTGAGAAGAGAATGAGAACTGGGGACCCAACAGATGATAAATCTTCACTATTCAAACAACAGGTATGTAACTTGTTTATAATTAAAAAATAATCTTTTCTTATATGATATAGCACATTGCATTTGTTACTCCCCACATATATGTAAATATAAGGTGAATGTTTCATCATTTTGTATATTTGGGTGTAGAATAGATGCAGGTCAGTGTATTTTGGAGTTGATGTAACATTTACACTTCAAAAACAAAACGTTTATGAAAAGTGGCTTATAGAACATGTTAATTGGTAGATATGTGTACAGCGAAATGTGGCTAATAGAACATGTTAATTGGAAGATATGTGTACAGAGAAAAGTGGCTAATAGAACATGTTAATTGGTAGATATGTGTACAGAGAAATGTGGCTAATAGAACATGTTAATTGGTAGATATGTGTCAGAGAAATGTGGCTAATAGAAAATGTTAATTGGTAGATATGTGTACAGAGAAATGTGGCTAATAGAACATGTTAATTGGTAGATATATGTACAGAGACTCGTGGAAAGGAAAGTGGTAAGAGTGCTGTTGGCATACAAATAAGATTGTAATATCCCTGTCATTTCATTGGAGACATATAGTGTTATTTCATGCTTGTCCTGTCCTGTCCCGTTATGTCACCATTTTATTTTGTTCTGTGATTTGATGATACACTACTTCTCTCCCATACAGGCAGCCATTATTGCTCACAAGAAAGAGGCTGCTGTGACCATGTACCGGGAGATTCGGGAGGATTACAGCCGCTGTATGCAGGAGATGGATCAGAAACGTGAAGTGGTGAAAGAATCTGGCGGAGGAGAGGTGTTAAAAGGCGAAGATGTAAGTATTTTTACTCTGGAGGTGAATTATTCTGAAATAGGGAGAAATTGTTTTTCAATCATCAGTCAAATGCTTTAATTTGCTTTATGATTTATTCGATACGTTACTGTCGCATTACTCTGCTATATATGCAACTGATAGATAATGGAATACTGAATTGAATTTCATTTAACCCTTTCACCCCTATGTAACTTTAGTAGAATCTACCATGCGTTGGTATGGATGAGTCCATTATGGTCTACAGTGGTGAAAGGGTTAAGGTAAGCATATTATAAAAATTGATATCACAAAAGAAGGATTTAAAAAATAACTGTATTGTAATGATGTCAATAACTGTACAGTTTTATATTTATTTTGTTTTCAGTTCAAGAGATATGTAAACAAGTTGAGAAGCAAGAGCACAATTTATAAGAAGAAGAGACAGGAGATTGCAGAGCTAAGAGCCGAATACGGGGTATTGTCACGTACAGAGGAAATTCTACGTAACAGAGACGAGAACATCAACCAACAGCTGGTTAGTCTCGTTAAGGTCACAAAGTATAGGAACGTTAACTTTGTTGAGACGAAGTTGTCCTCTTGTAACGGAGCATATGCCATTATACGTAACATACGCTTATACTTTACAAAGGGATACTCAACCTTTAACAATAAATAAAGTAGCCAAAATCAATATTTCTTATTGTGGAGGGAAAAAAGGCGAAAGCTAAACTGTTGCTAAAATTTCCCTGTAAACAGTGATTGGTATGAACTCACTCATCGTCAACTGATTATCCTTTATAAATGATCACCAGAACAATACTTAGTCTTAAAATTTGATAAAATGTGAATTTTGTGTTCAATTTGACAGGAGTTAGTCGAGAACAAAAAGGGCGTTGCTGGTTATCGTCAGACACAAGATGAGCTAGAGAAGGTGTCTAGTGTAAAGAGTGGTTTGGACGATCGTAAAGGGAAGACTCTGGAGGACATCTCTGACATGGTACAGAGGCTGACCCGGAGGATTGCCGAGAAGAAAACGGCACTAGCACCCATTATAAAAGAACTGCGTCCTATGAGACAGAAGTCACAGGTAACTCATTTATTACATTTTTGCCAGTGAAATATCGAATTCTATTTACTTGATAAAACTGATATTTTTCACACTTTGACAAATGTCAAAAGTTATATTTTCACAGTGTGAAAATATCGCTTTTCGGTATTGACCAATAATAACTGTATCTTCTATTCGCTGCATTCAAAGGCAACGGTTTTTATATTCAGATTTGAATGAAGCGACGGTAGAATAAGTGGTTGTTATGGTAAATGTTTGGTACACACACTTAAGTATTTACATAAATATACAATTAATAACATTTTATAAGCAATCATACCAGAAAATAGCAGAAAACGTTGGAATTGCGTTTAGTATCCCATTCAAAATGGCGTGCCGCCTTGTTGTCAAGCGTGACGTCATAAGAATATGGCGCTAATTATTGCGCTTCTGATTCCCACCCTTTTTTAACGCATTACATTTTTCATGTTTTATGCTTTAAAAATGTAGTAAATAGAAAATTTAATGGTGTCTTTAGTAATAACAAATATATTTCACTCGTGTGGCTAATATTTTGATATTTTTCTCTTCTGCTGCACATTCATGAAAAATATCGAAATATTAGCCACACTCGTGAAATATATTTGTAATTCCAGAAGATACCCTAAAATATCCGCTATATACAAAATCATGTAATAAATAGTAGTGACTTTGCTTGTAGCAAGATACATGATGACAAATGTTAAATGTTAAAAGGCTTTACAATCAATCTTATGTTATAAAAATTAGATGAAAATGAACAGAATTAGGTCACAAACATCCTAGTTATAAACATGACAATCCTATTATGTGGTAAAAGGTCATTTGTTTATTTGTTTGTGTACTTGTTGGCAATGAAAAAACCCTCAATACTATTGTAGTGTCAGGGGTACTCCTATAACATAAGAGGGTGCTGGTCGGCCTTTTTTCTATCTGATATGATTTTGCCGACAGCGACGCGACTGTAACACTGCGCCTGTCAAAAGTATCTGGCCTTGTAAACCTCCATCACTGTTGAAGTAGTGTCTCAGGTACCTGAAGGTCAGGCAGTCCTACGATGTATATTTTGATGTTTGGCTTTAATCACAGTATTTAAGGTAACATGTTTGTTTTTATGTGTTAGGAACTAACCGGCAGGCATGAAGAAAAGAAACAGGCATACGACACAGCAGCAGCAGGCCTAGAGAGTAACATGTCCAAACTAGAGCAGGTCAGTGGATGTGGAATGTATGGGGTTTACAAATGGATTTTATGTAGAATGTGATCTCAAGAAGGATTTGATTTTTTAAACTGAAATCCATATCTTGTATATCTGTTTTTTTGTATCCCTACTAAAGTATGAGAGGATATAGGATTCCGCTCGTACTTACGTACATATTTCAGATTACTGCATGAAAGGTCAAGGTTTCTGTTAATGTTTTTTGAAAAACTTGGTCATCACTCTAGTGATCGACTTCATTCCTCTATGCAATTTCATGAAACTTGATACAAGTGTTTGGTAAGGCAATATCTAGAACAAGTTTGTTTTTTAGATTACTGAGTTTAAGGTCAAGGTCACTGTTACTATTTTTAGAAAAACTTTGTCATCGCTATACCGACTTCATTCCTCGACGAAATTTCATGAAACTTGATAAAAGTGTTTGGTATGGCAATATCTAGAACAAGTTTGCTTTTTAGATTACTGAGTTTAAGGTCAAGGTCACTGTTACTATTTTTAGAAAAACTTTGTCATCGCTCTAAAGACTTCATTCCTCGACGAAATTTCATGAAACTTGATAAAAGTGTTTGGTATGGCAATATCTAGAACAAGTTTGGTTTCAGGTTACTGCGTTAAAGGTCAAGGTCACTTTTACTATTTTTAGAAAAAACTTTGTCATTGCTCTAGCGGCTTCATTACCTCTTGCATATGTCACAATGTGTAAATACAAGGGGATTTGTATCACTTGTGATGCCTTGTTCATTTTTGTTTTGTTTCATACAGACTACCAATATTAAAAGTTTTTTCATAAATATGAATTGGTAATTGTCAAATGATTTCTATGATGTATTTCACTAATTTTCCTGCTACACATGCATCCAGTGTTTACTTAGTTGTGTTGGCAGCAGGCTATCTGTAAGGAGAATGATCATTAAAAATTCACAGGAGCAGATTTCAGTATTATTAAAACTTAACATCATAATCAGACATCATGTGGAATTAGAATGATAAAAGTCAAGTTTGTAAATTTTGAGGCAGATACACACTGCACAGTTTTGTTTATACTGTCAGAACACACTAACACATTGTCAAATAATGCAATATTTGTAATGTTAAAATGAAATTCATGTGTTATCTCCCTTTATATTCTTAAATTTGCTTTAAGGATCCCCGTACCACTGCCAGAGACTGTAACTAAATATTTGTTTACTGCCTTTTTCCGGCATGGCTATGGTTTTGGTAGGCCATAAAGCCTATGTTGCTGGAGAAATAATAAAAATAAAAGTGGGACTGGGATCTTTAAACATCTTTAAACAAACTTTTCTGCACTGTATGATAGGTTTTATTGCTTTTTATATAAACCCTTTTTGGCATTTGTATCATAAATTAAGTTTAAAATGTCATGAGCAATAAAAAATCGCAATCTGAATTATTCTGTCCCGACAGAGAAAAACAATTTGAAAAAACAATACTTCTTCCCTAAAATTTTGTCTATTTCAAAAATATATATCCCTGTCTTTGATTATTGTTATGTTGGACAAAAACGTTTAAGTTCATCGACAGTTGAGAAAAATGAGACCAATTAGAACTAAAACAAGCTACTTATTCATTTTCAGGAAGTGCGTGCGTACCGGGAGGAGGTGACACAAGACGAGGGTCGATACCACTATCTAAACTGTATGATAAACATGTTAGAAATTCAGCAACAGAAGGTTGCAGAGGAAATGAAGGCCTACACATCCGCCGACCCCTATGCCAGGAAAAAGACATTCAGGTATGGACACATTGGAACATATGATTAGATGCTTAGACCTAGATTTAATGTCTCCTTTGTGTTCAAGTTTCTGGATCTAGTGTTTGATGTTTTTTAATGTTTGTGTTTTGTTACACAACCAAATTATCAAGGATGTTTTTTAAGATTATCTGAGATCAAGCTAGACAGCTGCATTGTAAAAAGAATTCAAAGCACTTGCTTAGGGCAATGAGGCATCGGTACTTAGTTATACATATATATATGTAACTGTCTGAGTACTGAAATAATGTTACATGTTTTTTTATTTGTCTAAACAGATATGACTGCCATATAAATGTAGATGAGAAAGTATTTAAGAAGAAAATATAATGAATTTAAAGGGTAAAGCTATTACAGCTCAAATGTTGAATGATTTTTCACTGTAAAATGACCAAGTTATCTCCCTTCCATGAATCAGGCTTTTGCATTAAGGAAACCACAATCATTGTATATAAATTTTAAATTTCATAGAATCGATGAATTTGGACTTTTTAAAAATGAAAGATCATGAGAATAAACGATAACAAAATGTCTTAAATGATGCCTAGATATGAAGAATGAGAACTCACTTCTGCTAAGTATAATTAAACAGTTATGATTCCAATTTTTATTCTTTGCTCATTTAACCATTTTAAATTACAGAGATATATTCCAAAGAAAGATTCAAGAACAGGAAAATCTAGGCAAAGGATTACGGGAACAGCAGAAAAGTGTCAGAGAGAGCCAGGTTCCCAGTATGCGACAGATGAAGATGTGGAAAGATGTCCAGCGCCTGATGGAATGTAAACAGCGATGTTTTGATCAGACTGGTGGCTTTGCTGGGTCTGCTGGTGTTGGGTACGGGGAGGCACCACCAGCTATGCTGGAAGAGGATAGACTCGTAATGTGAAAGTGACATTTGCATCATAAAATTCTATTGATAGCTGTTGTATTTTCAATATCAAACGGTGAAATACGGAGTGTAGAAATTTTACTTCTAAAAAGCATGGAGTTTTTTCCTGTTCATTTGACTGACTTAAATTCAACAGATGTAGTGCATTGAGTTTATAATGTATTGATGATTATACTTATTACTACAGGAACATTCCAAGATTGTTTTGTCAACTTTTCCGTCCAAATAAACTGTATATATGTTTTTTTTGTGTTCATTGTTTTATATATACTGTATTAAAAACAAATGTATCAAGTTCATCCTTTTTTTGAATAGAACCCTGTCTTGTCAACACATTGTATGTTCAACAAATGTTTTATTCAAAATGCAATACACATTAATTAGTACGATTGTTCACTTGCGTTGATCAAGCTCTCGAGAACTAATTGCGGGAAATACATGTAACCAGGATGAATATATTTTATGGACAACAATAAAGTGAGATAAGATGAAAGTTATTTCTACTCGAATACATTGTTCTTGAGAAGCATAATTCTATGGAAAAACTAATTCACTGATGATTGCACCTCTTAACTAATTGTTCCAATGATATATCATCCAATTGTGTACTTTTGTGATTATTTTAAATCTTGCTTTTGAAAGCAAGTATTATCTCGCAAAGATGGTATTTCACAGTTTTGCATTCAGGCTCCATTTCAAAAAGTCTGTTCAAGCTTTTTATGATGTTGTCGGCATTTCTTTTTCATTCCTGACCAATGAGTACAAAATCCAACACAGACATGTCAGTCTGAACACTGTTATCATCACCAAAAAATCTGATTTTGGTCTCACTGATAGATATTTCGTAGTTATAAACCAGGTAAACATGGGACTCTCCATGGAGTAAAATGTCCGACTATTCCGTTATTGGTTTTGGTAACGATTAGCTGTCTTCAGACCGAGTAAGTGGCTAACTGTTGACAACATGTATCAACTTGTGTGTGTTCCACTGCCAGATTATCATTTATGAAAAATACATACTTGAGCAGTTCTCAATTATGGTTCATGAGCTTGATTTCCTTTAACTTCTGATGAATAGTTCTATAAATTTTACATAAGTTGAAAGCTTAAAATAAACCTTTCATTTTCAACTCTGGCTTCATATTGCACTTTTAGCAGTTTGTTTGAAAAGTGTATTTAAGTTAATCATGGAAGGAAGGGGCTGGAACTTCCATTTTTCTCCTCATATACATCTATTGTTACAGAGGTCAAAATGTGTAGATCCTGCATAATACTGTAAAAAGATTCACCAAGTTTTCAGGCTTTCATCTACAATGAAAAAAAAGTGTTCACCGAGGCAGCACAATAAATCTTAAAACTTGACATTCCTAAAGGGTAATACATACAATAGTAGATCTATACTGTTTAAAGAGGCAGAACACACGAAGTCCTGTTCATAATTTTCTTCCATGTGGTATAAGGTCGGGTTGGTATTGGTTCGGCTAGTCAGGTAGCGCAGTGGATTACGCGCTCGCCTTTCACCAAGGTGGCCAGGGTTCGACACCCTATCGGACATGAAACGGTTCGGGGTCACACTCCCCACCACATGGGTTTTCTCTGGGTAGTTCCAGTTCCCTCCCAAATGAAGACCCATCGCGGGCCAACAGGAGTGTTTACAATAAATTGAAATATTTTTCTAAATATTTTCGTCATATAGATATCAAACAGGTAAAATCATTTTCACACTCTTACGCACATTTTTACGCTTACTTCACTAATCTATTACATTACCATCGTCGTCGTTGTCGTCGTCATCATCATTTTCATCATCGTCATCGTCATTGTCATTATCCATACAATGAGCGTCACCAACAGCACACCTCACAATAGATGTAATCAGTGCTATTCGTATCAATATCAACTCGATTAATAACAGTATATTTTCATTATCAACTCGATTGATAACAGTATAATTTCATTATCAACTCGATTGATAACAGTATATTTTCATTATCAACTCGATTAATAACAGTATATTTTCATTATCAACTCGATTGATAACAGTATATTTTCATTATCAACTCGATTGATAACAGTATATTTTCATTATCAACTCGATTGATAACAGTATATTTTCATTATCAACTCGATTGATAACAGTATATTTTCATTATCAACTCGATTGATAACAGTATATTTTCATTATCAACTCGATTGATAACAGTATATTTTCATTATCAACTCGATTGATAACAGTATATTTTCATTATCAACTCGATTAATAACAGTATATTTTCATTATCAACTCGATTGATAACAGTATATTTTCATTATCAACTCGATTGATAACAGTATATTTTCATTATCAACTCGATTGATAACAGTATATTTTCATTATCAACTCGATTGATAACAGTATATTTTCATTATCAACTCGTTTAATAACAATTATAATTTCATTATCAACTCGATTAATAACAGTATAATTTCATTATCAACTCGGTGTCACCAGTCTGCACAATAAATGTCATCATCTGCGCAGTCATTATATAAGCTCAGCACATCAGCAGCACCCTCAATTTTACCACCATCGATATCCTGTTAACATAATTGTCATCAGCATGACTGCCACTGAACCACACTACATCATCTCATTAGTAACTCATTCATTTTCATAATGAAGGTTTTTGCCCAATCTTAAATGGCATTCAAACCACTTCCGAAAAACGCTGAATGTGCAAGCTCCGCGTGCACACCTTCTTAGAAAGACACGTGTGGCAATATATGCAACAGCTGCTACATTGCAATGTAATACACTTATAGAAAATGATTGAATTTTTATACCGCAGCCCAAATACATGTTTACTAATGAGATATTAGTATGATCGAAAATACAAGGTTGCATTATAGTTTATTATAGAGGACATTTCAAATGTTTGTGATGAGGTATACCTAACGAATAAAAGAACATAACCATAACAACCTGTTACACGTTAGTACTATTTCCAACTGTAGTTATAATCTGTTTAAACCTTGGCATTATCTCTTTGTTTACGTACTGCAATTTCAGTTTTTCCATGGTATATTTATGTCTTATTATTCTGTAAAAAATATGGCAGCATTTTACGTTTCCTCTTATTGGAAAAAGTCAACACACGTTTTACAACAAGATTATACATTGATATTGCCTTACTACCATTTTTCATTCATAAAACAACACATGTTAGAATAAAAATGAAAAATTAACTATCAGTGTGTTGGATTTTTATGCAAATGTATGAAAGCACTAAGAATGTAATGATTCCAATAATGTATATGTCCTAATGGAATGGAATTTATTATATGAAGTAACAAAAGCGATAGATACTTTATGAACGTTATCAATACCTGTATAGGTACGGTATGTTAATGCCAGTTTATAGCAGCAAGTAGCTCCCTTTAACAATGCTGAAGTGTCCAGTTCCTGTGACAGGTACGTGTTTGAGTATATCGTTGGTTTAAGTCATTTTGCCAAACTCGTAACTGTGTTGAAATATGTTTAAAGAGTGCGTTGATGGAATTCACTAATGGATGCAAAACGCGTATTGCAGCCCATGTTGAGACTTGGAGATAGCTGTGCAGGAGTTGATTTTACCAAAGAAGTGTTACATGTATATATCTGTGTGCTCATGTTTAAGAGTTGTTCTGCTGATATACCATTTTACATATGGGACAATGGAAAAGTTCCATGTAAAACATATATATTTACACGAAAAAATCACCTTTGAATATTATACAATCATTGGGTTTAGCTAAAATCACTTTTAAATATTTTGTTTATATATATTTATCACATAATACACAGTGTGTTATCCAGTGAATATACCCATGTCATATTATTTTGCGTAATATCCAATGTAATATGACCTATCAGCCTATGATTGGTTGTAATTTTTAATTGTTTTAATTGTAACGTCACGCCTAGGACAAGTACATGACGTCACAGGCTTACGCACTTGAGTCAAAATGGCGGCTTTTTACATTTCACTGTTGTATGAAAATTCTTGTTTTTACATGTGTGATAAAAAGGATCTTACGCTCGTTTTCATTTCATATAAAGTTTATGAAACTTGTCACGAATTTTTCATTTAAGCTCACCAGAGGCTCGCTATGTTGAAAAATTCTTAGACTCATTTCATAAATCTCACATGAAATGGAAACTAATGTAAGATCCTATATATATATAATCATTAGGTTTTGCTGAAATTANGTTTCATCAATTTCATATGAAATGGAAACTCATGTAAGATCCTATATATATATAATCATTAGGTTTTGCTGAAATTAGAGCGTGTTTATTTTTCACGACGAACACCAAATTTGTTGAAACTTTGGGTATTAATGTAATTACTTAAGTTTAAACAAAGAGAGAATGAATTTAACCATTTCATCATTACCACCATCTTCAATTAAATGATACAGACAATGTTTTGGTGTGGTATTTTCTGCAATACTAACTTGAAATGGCAATTTGAATTCCTAGTGTGTTAATGGATAATACACGATTTTTTAACGTACAGTATATCAATATGTAGAAAAGAAACAAACTTCACCTTGTTTTCTTACATAAACAAGCCCAATATCGCGTGCAGAGCGTTGCAAAAGACTGTTTATGTCTATAAAAAGTTTTTTGGCCAAAACAACCCCGCTGCGTGTCAGCGAAACTTAGCATGCCTCGTTTCACAAAGATCTCGTAAAATATTGCCCTAATTCATTGTTGGTTTATTCTCATCACCTAGGCAGCTTATGCGTGTCGGTATCGGAATTCCCCCTAGCTATTTCATGACGTAAGGTCTTTTTTCGTTTATTGCACGGTCACGTTCGTGAAGTTGGGTAAGAGATCGAACGTTTTAACAAACGTTGCTATGGAGGGTTGTATCATACAAGAAGAGGAATCAACTTTTTTTGAGCAGGAAAGGACATTATTTATTCGTTTTGATTCTAATAACAGTGTATATTTCCACCTTTATGACATTTAAAATCCTTTCAGCAAAGTCTCTAACGTTATATAACGTAGTACATCTAACAAATCTGTGTGATCAATATTGGCACAAGTGCTAAACACCTTATAGTGGTTTCAGAAAAAAAACATTTACAATCATAAAATAAGTTCTTTTATAAAATGGTGTCAGTGTCATGAGAAATGAAAATAAATGAGATCAGTGTTTGATTGTCCAACCATCTGTCGAGAAGAGAATTAGACAGATAAAACACACTCTTAGTTTCTCGTACGTTTTATATCTCTGGTATGAAGTCATTATTGATATCCTATCAAGTTTCGTTTGAAACTATTACAAGAGTTAAGAGATTCTAACGTAACTTAGACAGCATTTTACGCTTAAGTCGACGATGAATTGTCGCTTAAAACAGTCTCGCGTTTTATTGCTGCATATTTATAAATATTTATATATAGCCTGATATGTCAAGTTTCCCTTCATATAAGATTTAGGATACAAGCTTTGGATTTTTCATGTTTGCGAGCGTCTGGTGAACAAATATAAAAAATCCAAACCGAGTATCATACATCTAATATGAAGGGAAACGAAAGACAGATTCTTTATATCATATAATACAAAGTAAACTATATATTTGTGATCTGAAACGAATATTTTGTACTTGGCCGCCTCTAAAACGATGAAAATTGCGTCGCTTCACAACGACGTGACGTCACATTAACTGTTCCTTTTCGATTGTGACGTCATTTCCGAAGTGATATAACACACGTAACATAAAGATAATTTATGCGATGGCTTTATGACACTGCATAACACGGTATTCATATGATAAAAAAGACCTATTTCATAACCTTTTTTTCAACAAATATCATTTCAGAGTTGCTGTTGCCACGTATTGTTTATCATAATGGCATTTCTGAATTGGGAGGACTATGTTATATGTGTGGTCACACTCGTATTTTCGCTAGGAGTCGGCCTTTTCTACTCATTACGTCGATCAGAAAAACAGAAAACAACTCATGAATTTATTATGGGAGATGGAAAAATGGCGGTGATTCCGGTTGCCGTATCCTTAATGGTGACACTCATATCTGGAATAACGATGTTTGGAGTACCAGCAGAGGTGTATATGTACGGTATGCAGATGTTCATTGGTACAACAGCAATTTTCTTTTCCAACTTGTTGAATATGCATCTACTTTTACCAGCGCAAAAGAAGCTGAGAATCACCAGTGTGAATCAGGTAACTGGTTGATGAAATAGTATCCGCTGTATTTATGTTTTCTGCTTATTATATGGATATTATTCACATAACGAAGAGTAAACGAACCGATAATTCAAAATCGATGAAACTATGGCATAATGTCAACAAATCAAAATAAAAAAGTCGTGGATAACAACCACCAATATGTATTTTTGCATCGTGGTATTTACCACTATGACATAGGCGGCCTTATTTAAGGCTATATAGTTGCTTATCTTTATAACTGGAGATCTTACACCGCGAATCACGGGTACAATGGTAAACAGGTGTCACATGTTTTACAACAACGTAATGGGTCTAAATTACAAATCACTACTTCGATATTGTGCCAATAGGAAATAATAATAATAATAAATAAATATAAAAATTATAAGTAAATTCATAAATATAAAAAATAAAATAACTCATTATCATTATTCTCAAAATAATTTTTCAATTATGACATATAACAATTGCGAAGTGTTCACGATGTTGCACGATTCGCAAACCAAATCCTCTCTAGAATCATAAAGTTTTACGTGAAAGAGGTAGTATGGTTATTTTGTGTTGCTATATTTAAAATGGTCTACCACAAGGACATTTACCTTTTTTTGTAGTATGCATTGTTGTTCTCATTTTAACCATCTCTGATCTGCATTACCAATTTTAAGTGGCGATGTTTTTCACGCGCTAGAACATTTTACCTTGCAGTATCTTGAGCTACGCTACAACTCACATGGACTCAGATTATTCTCATCAATTTTAAGGCTGATTTCCCAGGTATGTCATAAGATTTATTTCCCTGGTATGTCATAAGGTTAATTTTCCGTGTATGCATAAGGTTTATTTCACAGGTATGCCATACGGCTAGTTTTCAAAGTATGCCATAAGGCTAATTTCCCAGGTATGCCATAAGGTATATTTCCCAGGTATGCCATAAGGTATATTTCCCAGGTATGCCAAAATGCTAGTTTTACAGGTATGCCAAAAGGCTAATTTCCCTTGAATGCCATCAGTTTATTTTCCATGTATGCCATTAGGCTGATTTCCCGGGTATGCCATAATGCTAATTTCCCATGTATGCCATATGGCTTACTTTCCAGGCATGTCATCAGGCTAAATTCAAGGTATGCCATAAGGCTTATTTACCCATGCACACCATAAGCCTAATTTTCCTGATATGTCATAAGGCCAATTTCCCAGGTATGATATGAGGTTTATTTCCCAGGTATATCATAAGGCTTATTCTAAGAAACAAGGAATGTCGACGGTTAATTTCCTATGTATGTCATAAGGCTAATTATCCAGGTTTGTCATAAATGCTTATTTCCCTTAGTTTCTCATTGGGCTAATTTCACTGGTATGTCATAATACTTATTTTCCATATGTGTCATAAGGCTTGTTTCCAATGTATGCCCTAAGGTTACTTTCCAGGTATGCCATAATGTTTATTTCCAAGATATCTCATTATGCTAATTTTCCATGTATGTCACAAAGTTTTTTCCCAGGTATGCCATAAGGCAAATTTCACAGGTATGCCATACGTCTTATTTCCCAGGTATGCTATCAGGTTTATTTCCCAGATATGCTATTAGGTTTATTTCCCAGGTATGTCATAAGTCTAATTTCCAATGTATGTCATGGGGCTAATATTCTAGGTATACCCAAGGCCAATTTTCCAGGTATGAAATAATGCTAATCTTCCAGGTATGCCATGAGGCTTATTTTCGAGGAATGCTTTAATGCTTATTTCCTAGGTATGCCAAAATGTTTATTTTCCAAGGTGTGTCATAAGATCAATTTCCCAAACATCTAATCGGGCTAATTTTCCAGGTATGTCATAAAGCTTATTTCCTAGATATCTTATTATGTTTGTCAAGGCTCATTTCTCAGGTACGCTATAAGGTAATTTTTCAAGGTATGCAATAAGGCTAATTTTTGAGGCATGCCAATGCTAATATTTTAGGTATGCCAAAAGTCTTATTTCCTAGGTATGTCATAGGGCTAATATTCTAGGTATGCCTTAAGGCTAATTTCCAAGGTATGCCAAGGCTAATTTTCCAGGTATGCCATAAGGCTAATGTTCTAGGTACATGTATGCCATAAAGAGAATTTCCCAGGTATGCCATGAGGCAATTTTCCAAGATATCTTTTCTTGTCGTGTTTCATAATTTAAATTCAAAAATACAGAAGGCCATAGAAATATGAGCATGGTTTTCCATGTGAATCGTGGATGGCATTGGTTTTTGTTTTGTCTTGTTTAACGTCCTTTCAACAACTAAGGTCATTTAAGGGTGATATTGACGATTGTGTAATAAGTCAACATTATTTTTCAAAATATGAGACAATGGTCAATACTATGAAGGTCATTGACTTTTACCGTACTATTTTTTCTAAAGAAATTAATTCACGGGAACAAAATTAACTGACCTATTAAAGGGAAGTTTAGTAAGCGATTATCCCTTGAAGAAGAACGAATTTTGTGTTACTTATATGTATGCAATACATCAATATTTTGCAATGACACGATTGTGATTTGAAACAGGTGAACTACCTCGGAAATGTGGCATTTGTGCCTGCAGTAACGTTGGAGATAGGTAAGAACACAGAGAGAAAATTATGTACCACGATAATTCTTTGTAATGCATTTATGCTTTTTAAGTTAATTATTTAACGCTGTTTATTTTAATGTAACCATACAAAATCATCAAATATTGTTAAACCAATTTTGTACAGTTGGTTAATCAATCTTTTTTTCGGAATAGCAAACACCGGCAGATTTAAAATAAGAGCGTTTTATAGATTGTAGCCTTTGGTTAGCATATATTGCATTATACCCATCATGCAACGTTATACGATCATACAACTGTACGCTACAGTTAAATCATGTCCTTTTACTTTTAAAAAATAATTCAAATATTTACTGCAGATAACGCAGAATGATATTTGAAGACATTTTATTAGAAGTAATTTAATGGTTTGTTTCTTGTAATAAGTAGGTATATGTATGTTATAAACGTTTTTACACGCATATTCCGTCTTTGCGTATTGCAGAGTTATCTTCTCTTGGGAGCAGGTATTGACTGTTACGTCACTTGTTTGTGAGAGTAACTTCATCAATTTTTGAGAAAACGACGTAATTTTCTCGCACAAATCAATGACGAAACAATCAATACCTGTTCCCAAGAGGAGATAACTCTGCAATACGCAAAGACGGAATATCCTTTTATTGAGCGGGTGAACACGTCCACTTTAGCGCTACGATGATGTGTAAATATGCATGAATGTATCCATCTACACAACAACTAATGGTATCAGCGAAGTATATGGTATTGCTTATATTTTAGTTTACTTGATTCCTCGGGGATCCATTTCGGGGGGAAAATATTCATATTCCCCTCATACGATGATGGTAATTGTAAAGTGTTAAGATAAATGGTTTGTAAGAGACATTTTGTTTATCATTGCAGTGGCTGGTATTCCTGTGTGGATTTCTATTGTCATTTTGATGGGAGTGGTCGTAATATACACGGTTATCGTATGTGATGAATTTCAGTGAAATATAAAATTGTGTTATTAGCTTGTCTTGTTCGGAACTTCCAACTCATGGATGATCATATCAAATGAAGGATATAATTGAGAAAAAAATGACTGGCTATTCATTGACGATTATGAACATGTACTTCCAAAATAAAGATTAAAGCTAGAAAAAACAAATCAAGGTTTTATGATATTACGGACACTTGTACTAGATAGAATAAGATATACGTAAACACAAGTTAACAGGTCCACGTTACCAAAACAAATATATCTATTTTTGTGATAAACTGAACATGCATTATATATCAAATATGTCATAACAGGTTTTATTTTTTATTTATTCGAATATTTTTTCTTTTAACTTTTGATTCTTTTAGGGAGGTTTCAAAGCAGTTATTTGTACTGATATGTTTCAAGCCATCCTTATGGTTGGCGGAATGGTCGCTATTATAATCAAGGTAATGGATACGACCTGACTTAGGCAGGATACATCTGGACAAATAAACATGGCGTGCAATAAGCCTTTGCTCTTCTGAAACAAGGGTTTCTGTGTCTGCTCATTTTAAAACATTATTTATGTATTGTTACTTATTGATATACTACTTTATTTGTCTATTGTTATTTCTGGAAGGGATGAGTGATTCATGGAAATGAGTCAGAAACAATAAACAAATAATGATTATGTATGTCCTGCTTATAGAAAGGACTTTTATTTTCTGGAAATTTTATTTAGCAATCTCATTGTAATATTTAGAACAACATGAGATATCGATCACTGTATATGTATTCGACATATTTGACTTTTTGTCACGTATGCTAGGTTTGTTTTTAACATCAACAGCATCTGAAAGCTTTTTTTGCGAATACGTCAAATGACTAGTGATCAGACTCAACTCTGCTGAAACCAACTCACTTAAGGACTCACACAACTAAATCAGCCAATCAACAAGTGTTTTATACGTTTGTAGTTCCTATCTGTAATAAGTTCCGGCTAATTACTGGGCCACTGAAGGAGTTTAATAAGGAAATGATGACAGATCTTTAGATAAATGAAATGTTCAGGTGTTTAACTTTTGAAAAATATATACTTTTGATATTATTGTCTGTGTGCGGATTTGCACAGGGGCAAAATGTCTGGGGGCGTTTCTGTTTTTGGGTCACCGGTTTTGCTTGTAAACTTCCGGTTGTCAACTTCTTGGCGCTGTGACACTCCAATATGCCACTAAACCTACCAAAATAAGTCATTTTGTAGCCTTTGCAAGTTATGTATTTAATTATCTAGACAGTTGTCACTAGTTTTGAACTTCAAATATTAAAGTTATTAGCAAAAATGTCTGGTAATAACATATAGTAAATGATTTAGTTGTGCGAGTCCTTAACCACAATAATATACGAAAGCCGGTAAAGTCAGCTGTCGGAATAATCCTTAGACAGAATCTAAAGCAATGTTTAGATCCACTGTTAGATGCAGTTATTGTAATAATGGAAAACAAAATGTTATCAGTGAATACATTACAAATGATGGCCGTTTGAGTAGAAATCCACTCACTTTTTACACCTTTTGTCCTACTTTGATTAGGGAACAATAGAGACAGGTGGCGCAGCAAGCACATGGAAAATCGTCAGTGATAAGGGACGGATCAACATGCTTAAGTGAGTAACGTACATTGGTACATTCGACTTTCGCCTTGTATGCGCATGAGTTTCCTTTTTATATGAGAAATTAACACTACTCAGATAAATAATTACAAAGAAATCGTGATAAGTATCCAACTGCCTTATTTATGATGATGCAAATGATGTGACGCTCTCTAGTTGGCGGTGATTTTTTATCACGTGGCGGACTAAAAATTATGTTTGATTTTTAGCACATTTTGCAATGCAAAACCGTTTTATAATGATTTTTTGTCAATATAAAGCATCTTGTAACACTTATAGTTGATAACATTTTAACAATAGTTTCTTTGTGATATTCATTTGTGAAAAGATTCAGATACTTATCAATTATACAATTCAAGTTTTGATCCCGACCCAACCGCACGGCAATCGTTTTGGAGCCTTACAGTGGGATGTCTTATCTATGGGTTTGGAACGCAATTCCGGCAGTCGATATTTCAAAGAATCAAAGCAACACCGAATGTGTCGACAGCCAAAAGGTAAAAGCGAATATATAAAACAAACCCTTACTTTTCATCCATAGGGCAATCATAGAATGATGAGGAAAGACTTGCACAAACATGTCATTACACTGACTTCCAAACATATCAACGATATTCATACATGTAACTGACTGTAATATGTTATCAGTATTAAAACCTTATATTCTATCAACTGAATAATAAAAGTGAATGCATACTCGAATCATTGTATTTTTTCCGTTTTAGAATGTTCTTCCTAGCATCTGTGTTGGCGCTAATGGTAAATGGGCTAGCCTTCATAGCAGGCGCAGTCATTTTCGCCTACTACCATGCACAAGGATGTGACCCATTGGTATCAAAGCAGGTCACTAATCCGAATCAGGTAATCAGTCTACAGTTAGTTTGTTTGTATGTTAATGGTTGACGTCCTATTAACATCTATGGTCATTTAAGGACGTGCCAGGTTTTGGCGGTGAAGGAAAACCGGAGAACCCGGTGCAAAACCACCTACCTGCGACACGTAAATGGCAACTACTCCACGTCGGCATCGAATCCATGACCAAGTGGTGGATTGTTATTGATCTAAGACAATCAGACGTCTTATCCACTCGGCCATTGCGGCCTAATCTATCTTCAGTAAAAATTTAATACAGTTAATTTGTCTTATAGTTTTAGAAAGTTTTGTCTTTATGGGAACATCTGTAACTTTGACAGTTTAAAATACGACTTTATCGAACCCTTACGGTACGGTCATTGTTTCATATTTACATATGTCCTTCCCATTTTCGCTTAACTCCATGGGAATTCAACCTGAAGGTACTGGACAGTAACTACAGTATACATTATCTGGTCATATGACCATCGTTTCCGTGACGTCAGTGTTAGCAACCACTCCCACCGATACGATAGCCGCCATCTTGTTCTTGTTGTTTGGTTCATACAAGTCGCATGTTGAAAGCTTTTGCAGACAATGAAGGATAGGTTTTTTGGTTTGGTTTGGTATTGTTTAACGTCCTATCAACAGCTATGGTCATTCAAGGACGGCCTCCCCTGTGTGTAAGATGCATGTGTGTAGTGTATGCTTGTGTGTTTTGGAGGCGGCGATATGTTCGTGTTTGTCTCCTTGTGATAGTGCGGAACTGATGCCGACTTTATAGTGCTACCTCACTGAAACATACTGCCGAAGACACCCAGCAGGACACCCACCCGGTCACATTATACTGACAACGGGCGGACCAGTCGCCCCACTCCTAAATTGCTGAGCGTTAAGCAGGAGAAGAAACTGCTATTTTAACAGACTCTGGTTTGTCTCGGCCAGGGGACAGAACCCACAGCCTTCCTCACAGGGGCTAACGCTCAACTAAAGACCAAAAGTGAGGCATTGTCAAGGGAGGCATTAGAATGAAGAAAGTTTATTAGGAAGAAGAGAAATGATAAGATCCCAAATTAAGTTGCCTCTTACGATCATGCAATGGGGGCAGCAGGTACAATTATTACGCCCTACCTGCAGGAAGGGAAGTTCTTATTATTGTATTGGAATGTTCTGCACATATATTTAGAGCATTTAACTGTATTTAACAGTTGTCGCCTAGTCACATTTTTTAATGGCGACCGTTGTTTGGAAAGTCTTCGGTCCGATAATGGCCGTTTACGGTTGTTCAGAGAATTCGACCAGTGAGGTTTTGCAGCAGCAGGAAATATAAATTAAGCTCATCCGACTAATTTATAAAAGACAGGTGGTATAAGGAAATGTAAATATTACGATTGAACGTCTATCAGATTGCAGTTATAACCAATATGAATGAAATCTGGGTGACAGATAAATAATCATGACGTCCTAACGGACCAGATTGCATTCATATTGGCTGTAACTGGAATCTGACAGACGTTCAATCCTTAATTAAACAACAAATCCTGACGATTCCCTGTTTTAATTCAAATCATATCCATAAGTAATACAAAGTTTAATACGATTTAATCATTTAGTACCCTTCGTGTCATTGAAGACATTCCTCGCCTTATCAATTTTGAAATACTCAAAATAAAATATTAGAAAAATATTGAGAATACTGATGCAAGATTTATGTGACTCGGAAGATGTAGGTGTTTATTCCAACGTCGAATGCACAAATAAACACAAGAGGAGACATAGATGTTAGCGAAACCAAATTTTATGTAAACTCTTAATAAGACAGAAAATAAGACCAGAAGGCTCAGCGTTTTAGGTGATAAAGAATGCACTTGCCAGTTGCTATAATATCATTGTACTCTAGAAGTTCATTATATCGTTCGTCAGGCCTATTCCAAAGCATATTCTCATTGTCAGTATCATCATGATATCATGCAGTATAACAGATATTGTTAAAAAGATTTTTATAGGTTTTCGGGTTTTGCCTGGTTGTAATTTATATGTGTTCTCAATGGAAAATTGATGGAATTCGCTTATTTTCTAGTTAATGGCGAAAATGGTAACAGACATATTTCAGGATACACCCTGTCTCCCAGGACTGTTCCTGGCGTCCGTTTTTAGTGCTTCGCTGAGGTAATGCTATGCAATATAAGATAAATTGATATCATAATCATGTTTTACAATATCATCTAATCATATCAAACCAATTTTTTCTTTTTACACAAACAATGTAAATATTAAACTTTTTGTTTGTGTAAAAAGTAAAACTTTGATATCACATATTTCCAAACTGTTTCATGTCAAGAAAATATTGCGGCTAACATTTTAAAAATTCAATGAAGAGCAGTGAAAGTGGTGTTGATGAACTATCCTAATACCCATTTGTTTATTTCTATTCTATTCGATATTGTTTTATTTCACTTCCGTGGAACGTCTAAGGACCGTCTGGTGGTAAGGAAGAATACAGAAAAACAAAAAGATTAAAAGTTAATGAAAGTTAGGACTCGTTAGTCTGTAATCCTTTTGTAAGCATACACTCTCACGTTGATAATTTGTTTACATTTATTTCATCGGAGGATACAATTGTAAAATGATAAATATGTCTTACATACAAACAAATTTTCATGGCTAGATGCGTTACTTGGGTCATATAGTTTTTATTCTTATGATCAATCTGACAAAAGGTAGATATAGTTACTGTTAATGTTCTGAACCTGCTGTATCCAATTTGCTTGTAGTACCATGTCATCTCTATTGAGTGCATCCGCTGCCATGTTTTGGGAAGATATCGTCAAACCACATACCAAACCAATGTCGGAAAGACGGGCACTTGTCATTGTACAATTTGCAGGTGACGTGTTACTTTGTAAAATTCGATATAACCTTTAGTTATTAAACCATGCCCGTTTGTCTGTTACCATAACAGTTCTGTTAGAATATAACATATTTTCACCGAAGTAGATTCATATTCATCTAAGAGATTATGCTACCGTGCTACACTATTCCATCGTTTATTTTACTTTCCATTTCCCTCCAACGTTCTTAAGTTCAAGTAATTTTCCCCTCGTATAACGCCAAAGTCCTTCATAATATTGGCATACCCGTGAGAAATCTTCACAAAATTCTTGGGATTACTGTATATAACAGTTTGTTCTGAAAAGATAGGTGTGTTCTGCTTCATCGATGACACCCACACCAGGACTACCTATCTCAAATCCAGGAAATGTACATACATGTATGTAACGTCTTCATAACGACAACTAGGTAAATGTCAACAAGGCTTTGTTCATAGTCTTGATCAACCTGTTTGTCCGTCCTCAACCGACATCTTTCACGAAAATAATGATATTTGGAGCTAGATCTGCAAAATCTAGCCAAAAATGCAAAATCGTAGGTTGTGAAGCAGGGATATTTCTATCAAGAAAAGGCAAGTTCATGATCAGAAAATCAAAATCATCCTGCTTATCCTGGAATTATGTAGTATTTTCTTATTGGTCTTGTTATAAGTATTTGAACATTCGCAGAAATAGAAGAGCCTTTAGTCCATGATTTCAAGTGTTACAATTGGTAAATGAACTAAAATGATTAAGATAAAAAAATGTTCGGATATACATGTTGTGTATACCCTTGAATTTCGCTTTTATTCTCTGATAGCAGTTTTCAGTTAAGTATACAGGCAAAGGTAATACACCTTTTTATTCCATTTTCAGTTCTATGTTTTGGAGGTCTTGGTATACTAGTTGCCATTGCTGTGTCTGGGATCAAAGGACCTATGTCGTGGGTAAGTTCTGTAAGACATAGGATGATATTACATGTAGAGTCATTTGTTTAATAATGCTAATCTACAGTTAATAATCTTTATTACTTTACACATTTTGTCGAAACGATTATTGATGAAGTTACATTCTCATATTTAGAGTATCTGTAAAGGTAAAACCTGACTTCCTAATTGGTCAAAATATAAGCTTAAGTTGAATTTTAAAACAACGGGATACCCTCCTAATCCCTGTATATTTTCTACATATGTCCATTGTATATTTGAATGACACCCGAAGCACATACTACCCCACTTTCTTTCTCTCTTTCTCCCTCGATCCATCCCAAATAAGACAACAACCTTCATAACACAGACACTTATTGTTTTATCGTAATTGCAACGAAATTAATTTTCCAACAACCATTTTTCTGTGCTGCAACTTTTTACCACTTTAGATACTTCATGTAACAGAATCCACATTTGTTGGTGCACTCACGGGAATATTTGTCCTCGGATGGTTTATACCGAAAGCAAATAGTTTGGTGAGTTTGTTTGTTTATAATAAAAGCAAAAGTTTGAGTTAATCAATGATGTAAATATTTTATGTTGGTATTTTGATATCTGTATTACGGATTCCTGTCACGAAGTAGGCAAATTAACATAAACAGTAACGCCCCCTTTAGTTTCGTATGGGATATAAATGTAGTGCAATATAATTGAGACACGGCGTTTTAGGTTAATTGGTTAGGGATGCAATATTACCTATATTTTTAATTGAGGTCAAAGGTTAGAGTACCATTGTGTGCAATAAGAGATTGAAAGTGGACACCTTTAAACGACAACACGTGATTGAGAAGTAAATTCTTGTATTGTGTGAAAATCCTATGGAAGTGAAGCAAGATGACATTATCACAGTTTAGATATTGTTCAGCTATTATAAAAGTTTCATCTAGACCTCATAACTTATTTCTCATCAATATTGTATATACTACCAATACAAAGATGACCAATCAAGGTCATAAGTATTTGGAATTATGTATCTCAAAATTGGAAAAAAGAATATCAACCATTTTAGAATTGGTTAAATATTCCCTTTATTGTGAAATATCTTTATAATCAAATTATCACTCGTAAGTTATGCTGCAAAGAAATCGTAACAATTAATATATTTCATCCTGTACCGATTGATTTTAATAGTTTGCTACGTATACATATTTTGAATCATGTATTCAGGGCGGTTTAATCGGCGGTTTGGTGAGTGTTCTGTTCGTAGGATGGATATCGCTCGGGAAATTGCTCTCATCAGGAGTAAGGAAGCATGGGCAACTAGCTCCTGCCTCCACCGTCAACTGTCCGCTAAGCAATGCTTCCTGGATAGCCAATACAACTGAATATCACCATATATCAGCAGATAACATTGGGAATACTACAGATCCGACACTTCGGGTGAACCAAACAAACATATCTGTAGGACCGTAAGTGTAGTCAGAAAATAAATACTCAAAAAGATTGTTGTCGAAAACGTGCCAATACACAAGCCTCGGGAAGTCTAGAATGACCCCTTAACATAGGTTGTCTCTTAAAATAAGTTAATTTATCATGAAACCACAGCAATGGAGAACTATTAAAGTGGTTTGTTAACGTAGGTTGTTTCTTAATACAGGTTTAGTTTACCATTAAATTACGCAATTGGGAGCATTGAAAGTGTTTTTTTAATATTTGTTCAGTTCATCATGAAATCACCACAATGGAGTGATTTCACAACACAAATGTCTCTTTATACAGTTGGTAGTTACGCAGCTTAGACTGTTGTAACTTAAATTGTTTCAATTCGATAATAGTTTGGGTATATCTAACATACAGTCAAACTTCCATAAATCGATGTTTCGATCTTCTCTATGTCGAACTTAAGGCGAAGTCCATAATGTTCCCCTTATATAACTACTGATATATTCTCATGAATCGAACTTAAATGATTCGAATTTTCCGCAGTTTCGAAGTATAACCAAGGTCCAATCGTTATGAAAATATTGATAAATACAACTAAAGAATAAATCTAAGTGAAATAATCACCTGTAATAGAACATCGAAATGTCCCGCAGTTACTTTAATAACAGAGGTTTCGAAATTTAAATGACAGGGAGATATTGAATATACAATACTTATTTTTAAAATCAAATGTGTAAGCCTGAGGTTCGTCACATATTTTCAGAATCACATTCGGTCTTATCTATAGGATCTCGATGTTTAATATTCTTGAGTCGAAGTCCCAATGTTTCGATTTTTTTAGATAGTCCCGCAAAATTCGAAACATCGAAGTTTAACTATGTATGATCGCGTTTTTGTTCTTGTGTTTCGCTTTTTGTTTTGCCGTTTTCCCGGCTTCTGTTATTGACGCTGCATGTTCTATTTTACCGTTTTACCTTGAATGCAACAAAGTCACGGAATCTTCGTGATTAGGATGGTAAATCAAATGATTTAGTACTAAATATGTTTTTATAAAAATTAAAACACTGTGTGTCATATGATTAATAAATATACAAGTATGTTTTTGAGAGATTTGAAAAAAATGTCTTTTCAAAATATAGTATCAAAGTACAACATGGTATGATACGTATACAAAATAATTCAGGTTTTTAGTGATTTGTGTATTAACCTTTACCTTATAATTTAAGATTGTTATCGCTCTCAGACATACAGAGAATGTTACAAGAGGTCATGTATGTATATCATTCATTGTATATGGCGGACAGCAATGCAATCAACATGATAACTCAATTCGTCGTTTGTGACGTCACCTGTTGCATTCTTTTACAGGGAGGGACTGGACGTGCTGTATTCGCTATCATACGTATTGCTAACACCGATCGGTATCTGTTCGGTACTCGTGTTTGGATCTCTTTTCAGTCATTTACAAGGTACTACCTTCACTTCTTAAAACTCACCACATGATAAGTATTCCTTTACACGGGGATATGACGTTTATTCATCATCATTATTATCATCATTATAGGAGGCACGGTAGTCTAGTAATAGGACGTCGGGCTCGAGCTCGTGGCCAAAGGGTGGCGGGTTCGAGTCACGGCACGGCACTGTGTTGTATCTTTGAGCAAAATACTTTACTTCGTTTGTTCCAGTCTACTCAGCTGTAAAATGAGTACTTGTTTGGGCAGTGCTAGGATATCCCCAGAGATATTGGCTGGTTGCAAAGGCCCTTTAAACACAGATAATAATTTCTGAACCGCTTTGAGACGACCTACAAACTAGGTTGTGATAAAGCGGTATATAGACCTACAAACTAGGTTGTGATAAAGCGGTATATAAGAACATCGAATCATTTATTATCATCATATATCATTATTATTCACCTCTTCAATGGTAGCCAGGTTTGTCTATCGGAATTAATCTATAATGCAAACGACTATCATTAAAAATCAGTGATCTGACCTGATTTATATCTATGTTTTTGTAGTCACATTTAAAACAATTGAATCAACTCTGCCTGCCATGATCTATGTCAACATATTCTTCATGATTTTTCAATACATCAAATGTAGACAATATAGTTATGATATACGTCTTAAGATGGTTGACGAATAAGGATATCTCTCTCTTGTTGCATATATCTCTTTCGTGCGTTCCCTCAGATGTCATTCGAATAATGATGTTTTCGATGTGCTTTGTGCGCATGAAAAACTTTTACAGAATAGCACTCATATAATATATAACACTAGGGGAAAAGTTGATCTGAACGTAACAGGACGACGGATAATATTAAAAGAATTAAGCTAGAAAGGTTAATTTTAATAACGCGTTCCTTAAAAATGTAGCTTCTTCTTCTGTTTCTGTAGTTTCTCGAAAGTCTACGAAAAGCCACGTGAACATAAACGTTTCATTTTCCGACCAGTCATCAAACATGGCCGCAATGGCCTATACTTTATTGACACAATTATGGGTATACGCCAAGGTGTTTTCACTACTCCCATTCTTTTTTCAGATTTTGCTCAAACTCATAATGTAACGGTATGATAACATTGTTTCTTTTTAATCCACCATTCGTGACTAGGGGCACTTGGGTAATCTTGACTTTTTTGACAATATGGTTGCTGCAGTACTAGTCTGATCGGTTGAAATTTATATATCAACCATAACGGCTTCTGGTTTTTGATTAGGCAAAATGATCGCAATATACTGGTTTCTGATTTGTCTGATGTTGGATATTGAAAACAATAAAGAGCAATATGTAATTATTTAAAATTGATACATTTGTTTCTACTTCATCAAGTGTCCTTGCCGTTTTTGTGTTTTCAGCTCGGAAGCCTGTTGACCCATCTTTAGTTGTACCAGTGTTTGATTACCTATGTTGCTGTATCCCTCAGCCCATCAGACAAAAACTGCGCTGTGGAGTAAAATACCCGGAAGCGGACGGGGTAAAATTTAACTCTTTGATAAATTGTAAAAAAGACACCAACAAAATCAAAATAATAAACGCATTGGGACTGTATTATATGTGATGATTATGTTTGTGATATAATCTTTGGTGTTGATAAATAGAACTATGTTTAATGTACCCGAGGAGGTGGCTCATGCTACACGGCCTTTCCTTATACATTTGGTGTGTGCTTGATCCTTGTAGTATTTTCATTATTTTTTTATCATTAATTTTGAGAATATATCATTGTTCTTTAAGGTGGTCAGAGAAGGTGAAGATGCAGGGGACCCGATGATTGAAATGGCATTGACACAGGAAACCACAAATTGTGTTAATACTCCGACAGATCGCACATGAAAGATCATGGATTGGTACATTTACATCAGTGTTATACGTTTTCTTTATATACTTGAGGTAAAGGGAACCACTGCAACATAATAAACCGCAAAGAACATTTCCATTCAAAAGTGCCATTTACTTTAAGATTTTTTTCTGGTATCGAGATTGAAATTTCGAAAAAAATGTTGTTTTTTTTAGAAAGTTTGACGTGTACCCATTACCGAGTTACTTACCCTAACACCGTTCACCTTGGTCGTGTGGCTTTCCATTGTTTTTCCTCGGCTATGGTTTACCGTCTTCAAAACCGTTATGATGACGAATTTTAAAGAAGCATTTACGGGAAGAAAACAACGCTGTGTAGAGAGCAGAAAGGACAAATATCCTAAGACAAAAAAGAAGGCAGCAAAATAAGTTTCTTTCTTTTGAATTCCATCTCGATAATGAGCGCAGAAAATGCTCTGCCTTAAAAAGGGGGGATTTTATAATAGGGCAGTAGAATACATTATGACGTATGCTTTACCTTTCTGTAAGGAAGAACAGGAATACAAAGAAAAACATGATTGGGAGTGTTGTGTAGGAGCTGCTGATTTATATAATGATGGTTTTACATAATTACTGGGTTTATAATGTGGTGATGCTGATGCTGTGAATTCGTTGTCGCTGAGATATTGCCTTTATAATGTAATAATGTATTCAGTTAATTGTGAAATTGATATGTCGCTTTATTCAATAAATCGGTGTACATGGTGACGGTTATATGTGATGATTATGTTTGGGATATAATGGTGTATTTGGAACAATCTGGGTACTCTGTTATGGCTGTGTGTCCGACACAAAGCCTAATCAAATAGAAGCTGTGTAATATGTGATGGTTTGAGATATAAAAAATGCATTTTGTAGTCTGAATAATAAATGATGATTCTGTTTGTTATATAAAATACATTCAGTACAACTAATAGTTGGTGCCTATGTTTGTTGTATAAAATTATCAGATGATACAACTTAATGTTACCACATCATTGGTTGGATCCTGGTCACATGGAGATCGATTATTTACCATTATTTTCGGAGTAACTATGTTTAGAAAAAACGGGTCAATATACCCTCTATGACGTCTCTCCAATTATAAAGTCACAATTTCTTCTGTCAAATCCATTATTTTTCTCTGCCCTTTTTCAAAATTTATCATCTTTTTTATGTATAATAAGAACAGCACAATTTCTTATCTAATATAACAGTTAATGGCTTTTCGTTCAGTGGATATGTAGATACATGGACCTGTAAAGTTATATTGACCTCGACTTCGTCTCGGTTAATATATCCTTTTATGGTTTATATAACCACGTATTTACCTCAACAAAAGTCCATAATTAATAATTATCCGCTACAGTCTATGTTATATATGATTAATGTTTTTTGTTATGTAAAATCAATAAATTCAGTAAATATCAACGATACGTAAGAACTATTTTAAGAGAGGACACATTATGCCGGAAAATGATAATGAGCTACTTCGGAGGGATACAGTTGCGGTTTACAGTTGGGGAGAGCACTACAGCGTGGCAAGACCTGGAAAAGGGAATAGTTACAGGATGTACCATTTCACCTATACTCTTCATCATGGGAATGAATATCATCATCAAGGCAGCAGAGAGAGAAACCAGAGGACCTAGAATGGAGTCTGGCATCTACCAACCAGCCAATAGAGGCTTCATGGATGACCTAACGATCACTACCACCACACATGTACAGGCCAGATGGGTCTTGTCCGCGCTGGAGGAGGTAGTTACATGGGCACGGATGCAGTTCAAACCTCGGAAATCACGTTGCATGATTATGAGGAATGGCAGACTCAGCCGACAGTTTGTACTGAAGGTCCAAGAGGAGGAGATACCTTCAATCATTGGCAGCCCCATAAAGTGCCTAGGGAAATGGTTTGATGACACACTCAGTGACAGCCAGAACCACAAGAACACCCAAAGCCAAGTGCGCCAGTGGATGAAGAAGATCCACAAGTCGGGACTTCCTGGAAAGTACAAAGCATGGATATACCAGCATGGCATGCTACCAAGGCTCACATGGCTGCTGCTACTGTATGAAATACCAACCTCAACAGTAGAAGGGTTAGAGAAGATGGTGAATGGGTACCTGCGGAAGTGGCTTGGGGTCCCACCAAGTTTCACATCAGTTGGGCTGTACAGTTGTTCGGCAGAACTACAACTACCATTCAAATCGGTCGTTGAAGAGTTCAAGGTAGCAAAATGCAGGCTGGTGATGACTCTGAGGGACTCCAAAGACGTGAAAATCAGCGAGGCAGGGATACAGACAAGAACAGGGAGAAAGTGGTCAGCAAGCACTGCAGTTGGTGAAGCAGAGAGTATGCTCGAGTTGAAGGATATCATCGGGAATACCTGCGTCGGAAGACAAGGAGTTGGCTTCTCTCATTTCCAGCAGTGGGAGAAAGCAAATACCCAAGAAAGACGGCAAATGGTGCAGAAAGAAATCAGAAGGATTGAGGAGGAAAGGAGGAGAGGGAAATCTGTAGAACTCAGCAAACAGGGTGCGTGGACCAGATGGAATCTCCCAGAGAGGAAGATGACGTGGGCTGAAATATGGAGAATGGAGCCCTTCCGGATATCATTTCTGCTACGATCCGTGTATGACACGCTACCATCTCCTGTTAACCTGCATCAGTGGGGATTGACGGAGGATCCTTGCTGCAAGCTATGCGGAGGAAGAGGAACAATGGCTCATATCTTGTCTGGTTGCAAAGAAGCACTACGACAGGGTAGATACCGATGGAGGCACGACAACGTCTTGCGGGTCCTAGCGGATATCCTTGAAGTGGAGAGAAGGAAGAAAAGAACTGGTGTAAGAACAAACCAGGCTGGTATCAAGTTTGTGAAACCAGGGGAGAAAGCCACAGTGAAGCCTCGAAGCACCTCATCCATCTTTGAACGGGCGTCAACATGGGAGATGAAGGTTGACCTTGACAGGAAGCTTGTGTTTCCAGGAATAGTGGAAACAACACTGAGGCCTGACATGGTAATCTGGACAGAGCAATCCAGACACCTCATCGCCATAGAGCTCACCGTACCATGGGAGGAAGGCTGCGAGGAAGCTCACGAGAGGAAGAAAGCCAAGTATGATGAGCTGATGGAAAAGTGCAGGAGCAGAGGATGGACAGTATGGCTCTTTCCAGTGGAGGTTGGCTGTAGAGGTTTCCCCGCACAGTCAGTGTGGAGGACACTACGGTCAATAGGACTCACTGGGAGGGCAAGAGCTACCGCCATCAGACGATTGGGAGAAGCTGCAGAGAGAGCATCGTGCTGGCTATGGCACAAACGAGATGAGCCGATGTGGAAGCCGACATAGACGAGTAGTGGTTTGGCCACCACTACTGACCCACCAGCCGGAGGATGTAGTGATTAAGGGTCGAAACATCCGAAGAGGGCTGGCCATCACCTGATGACGTCAAATGAGGCTTCGCGACTAGAATGACAGCAGTGACGGACTACAAGTCAAGGATGTCACAAGATGCAGAATCACCATCATCTGTAAGCAATCACCCTTCCATGGTAAAATCAAATATAGGCATAGCTTCAATATCGCATCCAAATACGAGATACACGAGAGGGGACAGGTCTCCCACAATCATTGTAGGTGCGCCTGGCGACCTGCAGTTCAGGGACTACATTTTTCTTTCAAAATTTTGGCTAAGCAGTGCATATAATGTTTGAGCTTAAAATATACAATCTCGTGTAAAATTTTACGAAAACATTATCAATTATCTCTTGCAGAATGATCAGTTATCAATGACCTACATACAGTGTTCCCGCCGAGTCACATGTATTTGTACATGTATTTCAACGTGAAATTGCAGATGTACCTATTTATTTGTACATGTATTTGTACATGTACATTTCAACGTGAAATTACAGCAGATGTACCTATGCGATCTGCGCTGTTGGTAAATCTGTATACGTAGCCTATTGTGGAACCTCAAAAGACTGCACTGTCTCCCTCATTTGTTTTGAAAGTGTCTCAGATTCAGCACCTCTTGTAGTTATACCATTGAACTAATGTTGCTTGGCGCATATCGTATCTGTGCCCTAAAATCGTAACGTTGAACTTGGACTAACGAGTTCTGGCTGCTACACTGTCAACACCTCTGTATGGGGTATACTTACAATCAGGTCGGGATCACAAACATCACAGAGGTAACACATGGGTTCGATGGTCAGTATAATACAAGACAGAAACATAAGGGGCGCATTCCTCTTTCCTACTAACTGATCCCTATTGTTCATTTATATGATTATTTTACATACATTATACTGCAATTACAGACAAATCACAGTTGCCGTAGCGTCCAAAACCGTAAAACAAAGTCGTGACATCACCAATCCGTTATCGTGCTCAAGCCTGGATTCTGGGCTCAAACCAACATTCTTGTGACTTGCTTAAATTATGTCAAACGATCAAAAAGTCAAACATAAACATTGAAAACAGTTTTCTGCTTTTAGTCTCTTCAATGGTATCCCAAAATCATTGACAAAATAAGATGTTCTTATTAATTTATAGAGGGAACAAGAAATTCAGCTTGAGCACAAAATTCACGCTTGAGCACACAAACGGTTTCATGAATATGGGTCCAGATAGCGCTTCAGTTTGATATGTAGTCGAATTCTTTTGAGATACACAGAATGTACATCATGTATAAGTAATATGCAGTTAGTCCTCAGCCTCCCTGGACGTCCCTGTCATTATATTATTGCTTTATAAATAGTTACTTACAAGCATTTGTACACCTTTTTGATATAAAATACTAAACGATATCCATTAGGTTTGAGGTGAATTTTTATTTCTTATTTTTTCTCTCTCTTTTCTCCATGTGTTTAGATGTTCTGAAACAAGTTTTATAAATAAAACTATATGATAAATATAATTTGTATATATATTTCATAATTTGATAGAAAATCCGAAACATCCAAATATTGTTCCTTCTAGTCTACAGTTGCCAGCACTTTATCATCATTTCCTCAAAGTATACATCCAAGTCTATAAAGGCACTCACTCCACTGTAGTAGTCCACGAACTCGTCCTTTGTCACCTGAAACGGTAAACACGTGGTTCTGTTCAATATAAATTCATATTGGAAGATAACAAACAGCATGAATCACCCGAAGTACATCCAGGGGAATTTCGGTGGTTCAAAGAAACCATTTTTTTCTCATTTACACTGTACCCTTTAAAACATTTAGTTCAACATTTTCTCACTTGAATACTTTTTCAAATTTCAAGAAATTTAAACTCTTCTTTACCAACTGCATCAATGAGCAATCAGATCTTTTTGTTGATGTGACATTTCAAAGCAAGGAGAATTGGTCATTACTGGGTGTTACCTTCGTTTTTTCAAGTTCATAGACATTATCCTTCAATACGATTGATGGCAAAGCTGTACAGTTACACCTAAACCAAGCACTACACATTCTCTTGTACATTTGTAGTAGAAACGGTGAATACAGTTAATTTTGAATGGTATTCAATACATTATATTTACATTTGCATAGCATTGTCACTATATAGCCTCTTTGAAAGCTGTGTCGTTGATGGGACTTTAATAACCATGCATCACGAGACACAATTCTTAGCGAATTAATACAACACTGACCGGAACTACAATATCCAATATAAATAAATATGACGG